AGCGCGGGGGACACGTCACCGTCCGCAGACACAGACAGACGAGGGTCTGGCAGCAGACAAAGATGGACCAGGGTCTGGCAGCAGACAGAGATGGACCAGGGTCTGGCAGCAGACAGAGATGGACCAGGGTCTGTCAGCAGACAGAGACAGACCAGACCCTGACAGAGACGGACAAAAGTCTGAAAGCAGACATAGAAGGACCAGACTCTGACAGAGACGGACAAAAGTCTGACAGCAGACAGAGACGGACCTGACACTAAGAGAGACGAACCACACGCTGACAGAGAGACGGAACAGGCTGACGACGGACCAAACTGCGACAGGTGACAGACGGACCACATTCAGGGACAAAACAGAATGGTCGAGACGGATCAGATTCTGATAGAGGCTGACCAGACTCTGACAAATATGGAACATACTTTACAGACTGCGCAGCAGGGGCGGACCAGACTTTGACAGAAGATCCGACTGGCAGACAGACTAAATTCTGACAGCTGTCAGACCAGACTCCGACAGGGACGGGCCAGACTCAGTTTTGTCGTCGCTTAGAAAGTATTAAGTAACATCACTAAGTCACCATCTTTATCTGCGCTGATTGGATGCCATTTTACCGGTAGCTCACTTTTATTCATGAATTCAAATTACGTAAGAGCCTTTGGGAATTAAACGACATAATTGCGCCAACATGCAATACAAGTATGTCTTAGTCCCCGAAAAAAAATGACAGCCTAAACGGAATCTCAATACGAGACCACTTATATAGAGTCCATAAATACAGCGTAGCTTCCCTTACTCCATGCAAAAAATCAGGATTATTAAGCGGCAGTGCCGGCGAATTCAGTCGGCAGTGCCGGGCGGATTTGCCGGGTATTGGGGCTCTGGGAGGCACCACCACCCCACTATCGGTCCTGCCATTCCGCCTGTTACCGCGCCCCACAGCAAAAACTCGGCCGTTTTTGTGGCCGCCTGAGCTCGTGTATTGCGCGCTCTTCTTGCCGCCGGGGATCTGGGTCACTCGGACAGGGGGGGGGGGGCACTGGGTGTCGTCATGGGCCGAGCCATGCCATCCGAGAGCAACAAAAACGCCCCTGATACGGGGCACCGGCAGCGGCGGCGCCAGCGACGGCAGCCGGGGAGGCAGCGGCGGAGTTGAGGACAGAGGGAAGGGAGGGATGGTGGGATTGTGGGACGGTGGGACGGTGGTACGAAGGCTGAACGGGACGGAGGACGCTGGTACAGAGGGCTGACGGAAAAGCATATGGAGGAACGGTGGGACGACATCAATGATGGGATGGAGGGTTGAAATTTGAAGATAATGCGGGACGATGGGGCGGAAGGACAGAGGTCTGATGAGGACGTTAGGACGGTACTAAGTTTTGAACTGACCGAGAAGGGGGGGTTGTCGAAGGGCGACCTAACAGGTCATAGTGCTGCGGACGGAGGATGTCATGGACGAACCGTGATCGGCACGGCCTCAGCGACCCCGGTAGCCGGGGGCGGGTATGTGCCCCTGCCGCCGGCCCGCAGCACCATCCCGCTGCCAGCAGCGCGCGCCAGGGGCCGCCCCATTGCAGCGCTCTGAGCCGTATCGAGCGGGCCGGCTCCCCAAAAACAGCTCGGCGTGGCGGCACCGACCGACGGCGGCGGCAGACGCGGCGGTCATGGCGCAGTGGCGGCGCGGGTGACGTCAGGGACGACCACTTCCTCACTTTCCGGAGTGTGTCATTATTAGGAGCGTGTCAGGGATTGAACATGAAACTTAACCCGCGACCTGGTGGGGGGGGGGGGCTATTTTTTGCCCCCCCCCTCCAGACTTTTCGATATATCTCCAGAACCGCTGCGCCGATCGTCACCAAACTTTCAGTACCCTCCCGGACATCAATTTTACACATTGTGACCAAAAATTTTTCCAAAGGCTATGATAGGTTGGCCGGAAATGACGTCAGAGTGACGTCATGTTCTGCCGTTTTCGACCCAAAAAAGGGTTTCGCGGGAAGAGCTGTCAGGCCTATAGCTTTGCAAATACAGAAAAATGATAAAGACATAAAAGCTGTATTATTGAACAGGGCTACAACACTGCTATCTCGGATTTTTGAAATTTTAGGATTTTGAACCCCAAAAATCAAAAAATATTTTTTTTGGATATAATAATCGACAAATCCAAAAAGTTTTTTGAATTTCGCAAAAACCGGAATATATGTGATAGTCCTTACCGCCTTCCATCCACATACCAAATTTGAGATTGATACCTCTTTTTTTGGCGAAGTTATAGCGAAAAAAAAACTGTTCAAAATTGATGACGTCAAATTTTCAAATTCAATTTTTAGCAATTCTAGACCCCGTAGCGTAAAACAAAGACCACCATTAGACTCCCCGTGACGAGCTGCATCGAATCAACACCCATTTTATGCAAAACTATCAACTTTACAATTTGACCTTTTTTGGCCTGACCTTGACCTGACCTTGACCTGAACTTCACCAGAAAGTGACCTAAGCCGTACCTGATAGTCTTGTAACCAGCACCATTGAGTTGGAAATGAAAAATTGGCCATAAAACATGCATCACACAACCTTTGTAAAGTTGGGCTCATGTGACCTGACCTGTGACCCTTGGTGAGTGACCTGTGACCTGACCTGGTATTGTCAGTGACCTCTAATAGCGACATATATACTAGGCAACTGACGCCCTATCGCTGATTCTCGACAAAATGCGTTTTCCTCGGTGTTATAGCGCATTCCCTAGAAGACCCGTGAACGGTGAAACATTTCATCTTTGACCTGACCTGTGACGTCATCGGTGACCCCGAGGTCAATGAAATTTGGTTTCCTTCGACAAATTTGACAGGCCTTTCGAACGCCGTTTGAATTTTGCGGATCCGTCCAGTAGTTTCGGAGATACGAGGGGGGGGGGGGGGCAAAAAATAGCCCCCCCCCCACCAGGTCGCGTTATAAACAGACCCCACCAGGGCGCGGGTTAAACATGCCTGCTTAGACACAGGCGTGCTTCCTAGTCATGAATCTTAGTGGTTATGTGATTTTTAGTTGATATTTTAATGCAACGATCAATCTCAATCAGAGGAGTACCTACACGTCATCAAATGTCAGCAAATTAGGTACATTACGGTATATTCCTAAGACCATCGTTGTCAATATTAGTCGTGACTTGCGCTCATGTTCATTGTTCAGGACTCACAAATCAAAGGTGCAAACCACAGCAGCGCGCTGATGGCATTCATTACACTGTATCGGGCTATTTCTGGCGAATCCCCGGCCACCTTTCGACAGAAGTTCCCCGGCGCTCCCCGGCTGCTCTGCAATACACGTCACGCCCACAGCGGCGGCCCCTGAGCTCGCTCTGAGCCGCCGCGAGGACGGCAGAGGAGCCGAGCCGCCGCCAATGGGGTCGCCATTGATCGCCCTCGCTCCGCCGGCCGCTGGCTGCAGTGTCATGTTGGACGGACAAAGCCGGAGTGTTTTTACTGGGCCCGGTGCGGCCAGCGATGCGCTGGTCAGCCCCCCTCCCCCCAGAGCCGGACACAGGGGGGATTAGTAGCGGTGGCCTTGTTTCCCAGCCAGGAACAAAGCACCAGCAAGTTAGTTGCACTAAATAATTGGGACAGAGGCCCGTAAACAGAAAACCTTTTGAGCTCCGAATTATGGTCGATTGCTGACGCTTCAGGAAGCACGCGACCCCACAGCATAGAACACGCCAGGAGTGCAACAAAGGATCTGCAATTGCTATAGCAACATTGCGCAGCAAGCATAGAAAAAGCGATGAAGTGGTCAGCATGCATCCGCCTTCGCTCCAATGCTTAAACAATCTTGACATTTCATCAATGGCTGGTTTCTAGAATAGCGTCTATTTTATCTGTTGTCAAGGATGCGTCTAATCATTCTGCAACGAATCACGTGCACGCGCACTGTTTCAGTCCAGATGCACCATGCGGACGTGTTTATGCCGAACCGCGGGGGGGGGGGGGGGCGGAAGTGAGGGGGGACTGTTTGTCAGCAGGAAGCAGCAGTGCCACTGCACGCCCTATACCTATCCGCCGGAAGGAAAACCGGCCCGGATATGGCAGCAGGCGAGCCGACCGGTCCCGCCCCAAGGCGTCCCTACCCGGCTGACGGCGGGCACACGCTGATATAGCTCTACTTAGAACAATGAGCAGCGGGCTAGGAAAACATACTTATTGCTATATAGAGTTTTCATCGAAGGGGCTTCCTTTGCTGCAGTATTTTGTGGTGTTGCAAGGAGATATATATCTAAGAATAATCTCATCAATTTATTATGCGTTACATTATGACTCGCAAGAAAAAGTGGTTGCGAATGCCAATAATTTCTGTACGAATGTTTCCTTCTAATTTGAAACATCTGAAACAATGTTCGCAACAGTGCTCAGCCGTGCGCTGGTCCAAGATTGGTGCCAGTTACGCCGGCCGATTTTTCGTTGTAATGCTCAGCCGTGCGCTGGTCCAAGATTGGTGCCAGATACGCCGGCCGATTTTTCGTTGTAATGCTCAACCGTGCGCTGGTCCAAGATTTGTGCCAGTTACGCCGCTACATCGCTCATGCAGCTGCGCGCTGGTCCAAGTTTGGTGCCAGTTACGCCGGCCGAAATTCGCGACACGAATGCTCTGTAGTACCTGTTCTGCTGATCTCCCCCGTGCTATAGCAGCTCATTACTCTCAACGTAATGTAACTCGCTGGGGCTTCCGTGTATGCGGCAGATGTAGTCTGGCTAATTTGCAAGCACGCTGTGTGTGTTGCGGACCATGTGCTGGTGTCGAAGCGAGCTGCGTCTCACGCGCTCCTCAGTTGCCGTTTGCGGCTATTGTATGTTGTGTGCCGGACATGCGCCGGGTGAATGCATTTGTTTTACTTTACGAAGAAGCGAATGGAGAGAGAAGTTTCCAGCACGTTAAAATCAAGTGGACCGAAAACTGGAAACGTCATTGCACTGCACGCGATGGTTCAGTTTGTCCATTGCTCAGAAATGCGCTGTTCTGGTGGTAATGCTATTTATTTTAAACAGCTACCAAGATCACAGTCCATAACAGTCAAACAAACAAACTGATTCTAGTGGCACAACGATGGGAATAAACAAACAAGTCATTACAATGCAAATAGCCAACAATGCACATATGGTCGCTTCGTTACTTTTGACTTTTGTTCATGTCTTTTATGGGCTCTTGGTTTAGATGGATCTAGGGGACACAATTATACAGCAGAGCCGCAAGTACAGTACGCCAATACATATAAACGTTATTCATACTATCTACATCACAACAGGCAATCAATGGTCAGTTTGACGAGATAGCCACATAGTTCACACTGAACTACAACACACAAAACACCGCACAAAGCCAGCGTTACCCTTGTTCGCACCTCAGCGAAAACAGAGTGTCAACACGACAAACAAGTGTAACCGGGTCAGATAGTGGCCAGAGTCCTCAGTTCACAGGCTCATGAGCGCGTCAACACGCGGCCACTTCTTGCGTCGGCCGCAAAACAGTGGACGCCGCCGGTTATCGGAGAGGGCCAGAGCGACAATGTTGTGGGACGGATGAGTGGCGCAAAAACAGTCCCCGCGCCGCGCGGACGCTGCTCGCGCAATCGCTGACCGCCGCAACACTGGGAGATGCTGGGGTTCAGATAAACGACACGGTGAGGGCGAATGTAGCTGAATATGCGAAATGAGAACAACGGTATGGAGGAGCACTCACTAATGAGATGGCGGGTAGGTATTTACAGCGAACCAGCACGGTATCGGGATTCTGTGAAAGGAACAGCAATTAAAACTGAGATTAGCTCGCCGCACCAGGTACAGCGTGCGGCGTTGGCATCTCCTGAAGATAAAATTAATATCTGAATCTGGATTACACGTCGAGTGTAACTATCTGCTACATGATAGGTATCCATAAATCATTATAACTTTTTTCGTGCCTTCGAACGAGTCCTACAGTTGACAACATTTTAATCCAGGTGCGCATTACATATTTCCTTGACCGTCCAGACCAAGTGTCACACACAAGTCTATCCAGCATCGGTGATTGGAACAAGCAACTGACAATGAACAAATACGAACACTCGTTTGAACAAGGACTTAAGTAACGATCCTCAACCAGCACCATTACCAGTGAACATCCTTCCAGCCCCTCTATCACCCTGTGAGCGGTCGATATTCATTATTCAGCAGCTGTGGACTGGTGGAGCTGGCAGCAGGACGCCATACCTACCGACCGAGCCGGTTCGGACACCGTCCGCAGTCCTATCGGTTGCAATCTTGCCGCGGTAGTTCGCCAATCGACCGCCAGTCGGCAGCACCGTCCGCCCGGCGCTGACCTGCCCCGCTGATGGCACCGGGTGCCGGTGAGCCCGTGACGTGGCGGCCGCTCACTGGTCGGCGCCGGCCCGGTCCAGCGCCCGTCCGATGGCGGCCGTCAGCGCGTGCATCCGCAGCAGTTTGGCGGCGCAGCATCGCTCGTGCAGCGCAGGCGGCGCCGCGGCCGTGACGTGCTGGCTGCCGGAGGGGCGGGCCGCCAGTTCAGACACCCCGCGATTGCCCAATTCGCCGCGCTGACGTCATGGCCGCCCCTGGGCACGGCGGGCGGCCGCGCCGGTCCGCGGTCTGCCGCGCTGCCACGGACCGGTCGCCGCGCCCATCCCGTGCACTGTGCAGTGTGCAGCGGGCACTCCCTCCCGACCTCCCTGACATTGCAGAGGAGAGCCGGCTGACCGGGCGGGACCTGGGTAAAGGCCCGTGAACGGCACACGAGCGGAAGGAGGGTTACCTACCCCGAATAAGTTGGGTAGGATCGCACACTAAGGTATAGCTCTAGCAGACATTCAATGATGGCTATTATACGCAACTAAATTCATGTTGACTGAGGGTGCAAAGTGATATGATGGAAAGTGGAAACCAAAACAACAACCAGGCACGATCTGCTCAACTCTTCTCAGGAGACGTTTAAAAAATTGCTCTCGATTGGTAGCGAATCCTTCGATTTCTATTTCAAATCAGAGTTAGGAAGGGCGTTTACTTCTTTCATTGCCTTCACAATCGCCAATGTCCACTGTCTACGAGATCCAAAAACATTCATCCCACCACTGCCCATTTACATGCCTATAATAAACATGAACTGTAACATATTCCACGTCTCCTATCCACTTTTCACGGAAAACGGTAAAATATGTCCTAGAGGACGAACGATGCAAAGCTCGACGGAATAATGTTCCCATTTTCGGATAGGTACAAAGAATGCCATGCTTCAGCGATACATTAGAATGTATAGCGCTTCCCTATATCCTATTGTTAGCACAACTCACTAAGCGTTGAAATTTGACAATATCAGCATATTTTCACCGATCTGAGCCGAATTCGTTAGTGCGGCTATGCAATATGCATGCTTTGCATTCCGTAGCGATTTGCAGGATTGGTCACCTCAAAACCCGTATATTCTGCTGCGTAATTCACTCAATTCTTTGCGACCTGTCGCATTGCCGTCTGCTTATGCGTCTGTCTGTCGGTCAGTGATTGTCTAGCTTTGACTTTCATTCCCGTATTTGTTGCTCCTGCGTCCACACTTAGATATGTCCGCCCCTGATTGCCAAGGCACAGTTTTACCAGAGTGGTGAACACCCCGCCTTGGGTCAGTCTGTTGACTGGATCAGGCGTCTCCGGCCTCTCACAACACGAGTCAGTTAAGCAGAGCAGTCAGACGGCCGGAGCGGCCCGACGTGCAAAACAAGCAGTTGGGGCGTTCCACGACAGATCGACCAAGCCATAACACCCTACCTCTCAGATTTTGATGAAATTGCGTCTATGGGGTTATCCGTACCGTAGATTCATAATCTCTTATTTTTAGCGTTATACTACGAAGGGTTTACGAGTTATAGCCAGAGGCATTTTTCAAAATGCCCAGAGTAACCCTCTTTTAAACTCGTATTATCAAAAAATATAGCCAGTAACCTACATTAATATGCATATCATTGGAATCCGCATTGACAGTAGAAAATTATCCAACCAAAATATTTTGAAAATTTTCAAAATTGCAAGATTTTTTGAAATAATGAATTTTTGATTTTCGATTTTCAAAAGGTGGCCATTTAATTTTTGACAAAAATATTATGCCAAAAGATGCCTCTGGATATGGAAATTTTATGTCCAAAAAAATTAGAGACATGTTTTGCCTTTAACTTTTTATATAATTTTTTGTTTACGACAATGTTTGTAGTAAAAGGGAACATTTGGTGATGCCTTCCAGAGCCAATCATTCTCCTACCCACATATCCTCGAACTGTTTCAATGAAAATTAGAAATAAAAGCCTGGCACTCACACTCACAGACCAGGCATGCGATTATTGAATGATGTTTGCTTCACTTTCGCTGTAGTTTCGAACATTGTTCAGGCAAAAAAAAAAAAAAAATGAGCTGAACACTGATATCGGCCGCCTCGCATGTAATTCTGATATGCTTCTAAGCAGCTTGCACTGGTGAAACGTTACACTGGCGGATCCAGGGGGTAGGGCCATGCTCCCCCCAAAGCCCGTTTACCCCCCGCAAAAACCCGAGTTTTAACATTGCGCCTATGGCGGTGCATGGAAAGGAAGGGGCCATTTCGGCCATTTGCCCCCCCCCCCAAAAAAAAAAACGTCCGGCTCGATCCGCCAATGAAACGTTAGGAATTATCAAAATTGCTAATCGGACATTGTGGCCGGACATACCTACACAACTTTCGTTCATAAGAGCCGAGGCTGTGTTAGAGTAAAATGAGGAGAAGGCTCTAGCTAGTAATCGCATGAAGTTCGCTCTGTCCTTGTAATAACGGACTTTCAGTAATTTTGATGAATAAATTTGCCACAAAAAAATATATGAGTACCAAAATGCGGCATTTGAAGGTAATTGATTGCAATTGCCAGGGGCGTGACCAGGTCAGAGTGGGCGGGGGTGACAAAATTACAAGTACTTGAAAACTCGCCGATATTGAATTCTGTTTTCTTGAAACTGGAAGCATCTCAAACGTTTTGAAATTAATGCATTTCGAGGTAGCTTGTGGCTTGGGATGCTCCATGTTTCACTAGCATTCACTTTCATAGTATTTTTATTCCCACCCGGCCGAAGGGGAGGGTTTGATGTGCAGCACCTACGGTTTTCCCGATATTGTTTGCAGTGGTGTAAGGCTGGAGAGCTGAAAGTTGACATTCCGAATCTGTTGACACCAACAGAACAGGCTCAGGTCAGCTTACTGACATATGACGTCACAAATAAACCTCGGAATGATGCAAAAAGTTGCAGCTTTGCACTGTACTCTCAGTGTAAGGGAACCTTTTGCAGGGGATGACACAAGTAACGGCAGTAACGGCTCTTGAGATTTCACAACATCAATTCCCCTAACTTTCCTAAATTTTCACCCGAAGTCAAGCTGGTCACGTGACTTCACTAATATAAGTCAATGGGAAATATTGAAACATTTGAACTGTTATTTGGATGCCGAAAATGATCCAAGCCCATCTCAAACGCCCGTAATCGTGATTTCATACACTTTTGCGATGAGCGATTCTTAGGTTTTGCATTGAGGACCTTGCAATGCGCCGTATATGCCGTTACATTGTACGGTCGTGTGAGGTCATCGGTTTTCTTTTTGTCAATGACTGAATGGAATTAATCTAACGAGTCGAGTAAGCCACCAGTGAACTCAGGGAACCCTGCTGAACTGAATCATATGCTTACAATAGCCGTTTTCACGACGGTCATCTGACACACATTAACTGATATTTGATGAGATTTGGTCAAATTTGGTTCATAGTTGATTCTTAATTGTTTTTAGCTTAGGTTGCGCTAGTTGCTTATTGACCTTATTTATCAAATTATCAGTCGTTACTTTTTACTCAAGCATAATAATAAAATTACGTTATGAAAATAGCTGTAGTAAAAGATTTGGCTAGATTCGTCTGATATCCGTCGTGAAAACGGCTGAAATGACCTCATTTGAACAGCTTCTTGACCTCAGCGGTTTTGATGTGGCCTCGACCTGAGGAAAACATCTTAAGCTGACCTCTTCCAAACCAAGTTTTATCATTCCGGCAACCGGTAACCTCTGAGGTCAGGTCAAATGCCTTGAGGCAGGGATCCAATTTTCGGTCAATAAATCCCTTAAATGGTCGCAGAACCGTCATTTCGGTATCTGGCAAAATATTTCAGGTCCCGAAACTGGTCAATTGAGATAATACCGACCTACGGCAAAAGTATCTGTCGATTCGACAGCTCATTCTCAGTACATTGATGTCCCTCCCCTCAATGTCGTCATTTTGTTAGGAATCTATTAACGAAAAACTCTCGACTCAATCAGCGTTAGTGACGTCATAAATGACGTTGCGTCATTATGACGTCATGCAAGGCCCACCAGCAAAACTAAAGCATCGGACCTTGCAAAGAATGCGTGAATTAGTTACATACGTTCTCTCCGTAAACTATTGTTTAGCGTTTCGCAATAGTAACATTTTTAAGCATTAGATAGGCTCACTTACGTGACGTCATAGTTCAGTAAAGTGACCTTATATGAAAGTTCATTTGATGTCACAAGATAAATCAACTAGATAACTTGTAATAACTTTCCGGCTTCAGCACTCTATCGCCAATGCGTCCCCAGCAGTGATGAGAAAACCGTCAAAGGTGATCAGCATTCGCTCCCTCGGCCACAGGGGGTTAAACCTCGCTCTCTTGAAAACAATACGCCATTATGACGTTTTTGGATCTTTGGGTTCTAACTTAGCTTTCGTAGGTGTCTTAAGCATCTTTAAAAAGAATTAACAGCGTCGCAATGAGCTCTTGATCACATTTCACCGTACTCCGTTTAGACCAGTTGACAGTTATTGTTATTTTTTTCACTGTACGACGAAATTCAATGTTGTATAGCGACCATTAGGGGAAAAACATGTTTTTAATATTTTCATCATTGAAAGTCAATGCGTTGACAAGACTTTTGCTGCAAAAATAAATTGTAAAAAAAGATGGCCACGTTCTCAAAATTTGATTTTTATAAATCAATTTTATGTTAAAAATTAAAAGAGCAAAATTTTCAAAAATAATTGATATCACCAAAATCTTTGGTTAATTCTTATTGTGATGATATGCAGTTTTATATGAATCTAATCAGTATTTAGCTAAATATTTGCGGATGAAACTTAGAGTTTTTATGGTAGCCATTAAGTTGCCTGGGGCAATATCTCCCAAAGTATTCGACGAATAAGATTGAAAATGTCACAACACGAATCGCCGGACAACATAACCCTATAGACGAAATTTCATCAAAATATGAGAGGTAGGGTGTTATTTCGCGATTTTTTTGGTCGATCTGTCGTGGAACGCCCCAGTTGTCAGCGCCGATTACTGAAACGACGGCCTATATTGGGCTGAGGAGAGCGTCAAGAGGCACCGACTCTGCTGGACACGAACAGTGCAGTTCAGAAGAATAGAGCAGAGGTTTGGTAAAAGAACCATTGCAGAGGCAGTCTACCGAGTGCTTTCTACCGAAATAGTTACTACACTACTTCGATTGTGTCCACTATTTTGCAATTGGACACTCTTTTCCTCAAATTACAGCCCTTAGCCCACAATGTTACATAATTAAGATCACATGAAATTAAGACATCGCTTCACCTGCCGGCCTCCACTCCTCCACAGTCTGTCTCTGTACCTGTCCTCCGCCGACCACAGTCCCATCTCCCACCTGTCCTCTCCCCTCCCCTCCAATCTCCCTCCCCACCCTGTCCGTTCACAGGCCAGTGGCCGCCACAGCACCGCCTCCGCCTCCGCAGCGACCCGCTAGACGTTCCCTGCAAGTCAGCGACTTCTTGCGCAACGCCGCGCCGCTGGCCGATGTCGCTGGGAGTCGCTGGCCGGTACTGGGAGCCAGGGCGGCGGAGGGGAAGGAGCGTCCCGGATGTGGGTGGAAAGCTGTTTGGCTGGCTGAGAGGTCAGTGGTCAGCAGAGGGTCAGTAAGAAGGGATCAGGGGTCAGCGGAGGGACAGTAGTTAAAGATCAGTGGTCAGCGGAAGGACAGTAGTCAAAGGTCAGCGGTCATCAGAGGGTGAATGGTCAGATGAGGGTCAGTAGAGATCAGACGGCAAGTAAAACGAGATAGGTGGTCATCAGCGGGTCAGTAGTCCGCGGTCATCAAACGGTCAGTAGCCAGTTGCCAGAGGGATGTTTGTCATCAGTTGCTGCATATGCCTATGTACGCCGAGGTATATGGTTGCTCTCAAAGTCGTCAATTATCACTGACACCAGCAGCCCGAAGACTCGCCGCGGAGACTGGAGACTGGCGTGTTGTCTCAGTCACGGTTAATTCAGCAGCTAACCTGGCCTGGCGCCGGCTGTCGACCGCAGAGCTGGCACCGGGACGGAGCTCCGTCCGGAGACATTACCGGGACTGATGTTAAACAAACAGGACGACATCCAGGTGGTGCCGGCGGCCGTCAGAGCGGAGAGGAACGGATCGGACTGCGGGATCACCAGCAGGGACGCCCTGTCGCCCAGGTCGGACCCGGGACACAGAGGGACTCCCTGCCACCCTGGGAGGATTCCAGTCACAGACGGACGCCATGCCATCCAGGGAGGAGCCCAGTCCCTGACGTCCCGGGAGGACCCGTTCCCCACCATCCTGGCACCCACCCCTCCCGGGGCGACCGCAAACGGCGCACCTTCTGCGTCCGCCCGCGGCGGTGCGTGGCCGGCTGGCCTTGACGGCGCCGCGGTGCAACAGCCTGGCAGCGTGGTGGCCGGCATCCGGCGCCGGCGGCCAGTTTTTACCGTGCACAGTGCACACAGCCCGCTGTGCACGGGCCGTGCACGCGGCCGCCGGCGATGGTCGATATCGGCCGGTGTGGATGGGCCGGCCGTTCCACGGAGACTGTCCCGGTGGGCGGTGGCAGGGTGGGAGGAGGGATAGGGAGCTGGGATAGGATGGTGGGGCTATAAGAAGCATCTACCCGGGCGGGGTATAAGAACAGCTTCGGTAATATGTGCATAATGCAGAAGCAACACACATTACGCCATGTATTATTGGATGTAGGGGCTGACGAAGCTTTTTATGAGAAGCTTCCAGTAGTGAGGTTAATCAGACATCCTGGATTCCAGTAGCTAATGAAGTTTGTTATCTTGGATACGGGATACTTCGAACCGGAAACGGTAATTTAAAGGTAGTGTGCCAGCTTTCTTGGACCATATGGAGTTAATGACCCGGATAAGGAGAACCGGATTTTTAGAACTTATCCATACCTTCAAAACTTATGGAAACGTCTTAAATTCTTCAAATTTTGAGTACCCCAGTGCGAAATTCGCCCCGACGGGTTGTCGGTCGTACCCCAACCACATTTCACACCACTATGAACAATAAATGCACACACTAAAATCGCTATTACCGATAGGCTCATCCAATCAAGTTTCGATAAACCCGTTCATCATCATCTCCTGCGGTTTCGAACACGCCTGTTAGGTGGCTTCTGATGCTCGTCGAGGTCGGAATTTCCAAATACGCGTGGTGCGTCGGGCCGCGCGCTCTGACTTCGGCCAAGAAAAATGCGTCAGCTGATCATTGTCATTTCTGCCACTTGCGTGTGGTGTAATGGGGTCATAACTTAAGAGACGGCTGTTTCATATCAATTATTTTGCATAAAATCATATTTCAAACCACAAATTAATGTTCGACAGCCAAATTTAAGAAACAATACCAATACAGGCTTACAGTTTAAGGCTCGACATTGTGTTGTCTACGATTAGACAGCTGATAACTCATTCCCGTACGTCGTATGGTCGTAACACTATAATGACCTTTGCTTATTGTCACAAGTGCGCCGCATTCGCGATTGTTGCCCGACGCCTGTTTGCAGGTGAGCCCACTACAGTTGTTATACATATCTAAAAACCGATAAACTTTTAGGCGAAAAAGGCACTATTCCAGGCCCATTTTTGATTTTTTTTTGCGATATTAGGTAAAAACAGAAGCTTCTTATCCTAGGAAAAATAAAACGGGAAATCTTTCAAAGGTGGCACACTACCTTTAAGCCTAAAGGTGGCAATTTTAGACGGTCCTAAGTCTGCCCTTTGGGCTGGTATGGCCGTGTGTGTGTCATTTCATACATCCCGATTAAATTGGAAACCACAATCGTTTTAAACAAGGCGCAAGTCCTATAGAACTAAATAATTAGGGAAATGACGGAGCGGTGGCTAGTCCCCTAGTCCCTACCGGTATGGTGTTAGCCGCCCGCAGCCTGCACTATATCCTGTTCTGTGGCGACATCTACAATATTCGCCACCACCGAGCGCGGCACCTAGGGGACAGCTCGGGAACTATCCATTCTGACCTGGCTGAACGGCGCCGCCGTCCGCATTCGTCCCGACCCATTTCATCGAAATCCTAAGCGAATCTAATTATCTAGCATAGCGAATCTCTGTTATTGTTCCATGATAATGTCCTAGACACATCAGACCCGGAGACATTGCCTGGTCCTATCAGGTCTCCGCGATACTGAAGCCCTGCCCACCGTCCGTACGGTTCCCCAGCCCCCTCCCCCTTAGCGTTACCCCTTTGGCCTTACCTGGCCCCGGTCGGGTCGGAAGCCTCGTCAGTGCTGGCCCGCTGCATGGCCAGCACGAGTTTGCTGAGCACGGCTGTATACTCCTGAACCTCGGCGTGGATCCGCTGGCCCAGGAGGCGACCTGCCGGACCGGAGACGGCAGCGGTTATTGGTGAGACGGCGACCGGTCATTCCTCCACACATTTATCGGGATGTGGATGCAGTTCAGAGTAGAACCGAACGGATTTGGAGCTATAATGATAGAAATCCTATGCGGTACCTGACAAAACACCTCTTGCAGGCTGCAGCGGGGATTGTTGTGCGATAAAAATCATCGACTCCTGGGAATAAACGAGTGCCGGCACGTTTGGTTATGTAAGCAGGGGCTGCAGAGGATAGGCCAATTAGGACGTACCCATGGATTCGATGGCGACGGCATCGGGCGAGTCGACGGGCCCGGTGTGCTCGGCTGCTACCTCCATCGAAATGACGCTGGAGTCGGAGAGCAGCTCCATTCTAATTTCCTCCGAGCACCGGTCGTCGGACCACCTCCACCTGCAGGTGAAACGGGCGATTAGTAATATATTGCTGTAAGACAATCTTATACCACCGCGGAGCGGAACACGTAACTTAGCATAAACATACGTTGCTAGTAGCTGAAATGCCATTTCTGAAGCTGCAAGTGTCCAGCTCGGAACGCTAAAGGGATCTAAATTGACAAATTAATTATGGAACAGGCCCATATATCGTGAAAAGCTTGCGACGACAACTCAAACTGGTTAAAAAAGAAAGCTTGTACAGGTCCAGTGACTGCCATGCCGCTAGCTTCGTAGAAACAAAAATCCAGAGGCAAGCGTTGGGCAAGCTATTCTTACCGACCCAGAAATCAAAATTATTTATATTCAATAATAACAACAATAATAAAAGGGGTTTATCCACCGCGTATCACTGCTTCCCGTAAAATTCAATTGTCACTCCTGCGCCAAATGAAACGTATATCGTACCCTGCCCAAATTTTGTATAAGTCAACAAATATGACATCAAAAGCTCAACATTTCCAGTAGAGAGCTGATTTGCATTTGGTTTGTTTACTAATTTTGTGTTTTATATTTTTGGACTAACTCTACTTAATTTCTTTAAAATTGGTAAAATTGCTTCATCAAACACTGTTTAGTTCCAAAACTGCTTCACTTTTTTCGACATTTATGATAATATTTGAAAGTTCTGCTGACGTCATTTTCAGTGTGTGGCAGGTGACGTTCTAATATTCTTTAAAACATCCTCACTCAATAGGCTGACTCAGCTGTTCGCATTGGGTGTTATGTTATTTTTATTAATTTTGTACAAATGGATATCGGGATCTTGATCGGGATATCGATGGATAATTGTTGCTGCATTTCATAAATCTGATTCAGGCTATAAAGGTGAAGAAATAGGTCTACTATTGCTGGAATAGCTTGGTACTGGTACGGTTTCATCTGTTGATCGTAAGATACTGAGTGAGATATTCGGAGGCCTGACCATTGTTTGAGGCATTGCAGTTGCTTTTTCTATTAAGTAAGATATAGCAGTTTTGTGTTTCACCCATGTGCAATTGAAAATGCTGATGATCTTAAGAGATATGTTCATGTTAGCTATGTTGATGTATGAAACATTTGCTGTCTCTGAGAGGCGAGAGCTGGTGCACACTTTTATAAATTTAGTGGGAAGGATTCACAAGGACAGAGCCCCCCATACGTTTGTGGCTGGCAAAAGACCGAGGGCTGTTCGGCTGCGCAGCCAAAATGAAATATGCTGCAGCACGCATGCGCAGTGAGGACTTCGTCACCCGTTAGTCCCGCCCACACTCCGACGTCACCGCCTGTGTGACGTCACCTACTGAAGCATGCTTCGTTTTCCTGCAGCACGAAATTCGGTGCTGCAGGAGGCGAAAGTGGCGCGGATTAAAGTTTACCGTCCGATATTTCTTATTGTAAGCGGTTTGTATGCTGTTTTTTGGGTATCATTATCACTCTTTTCGGTGGCACATTGCTATTCACCACATTTGAACGCAATTTAAACGTTATTTGAGCGACAATCACCAGTCCACCCGCGCAACGGTTCGCCGCGTTTGAAATATGCTGCAGCGACGCTCGGCCGCGGCGTGCCGGCGGAGAGGGGGCGGAGCCAGGCGGTTGACGTCACCCAAGTATGACGCACGCAGCACAGATCTATGCTGCAGAGAGCCGAACAGCCCTCAATACTGGCGAGGGCTAAGAAATAATCTTCCTTGATATTGAGTACCTACTGCAAATGATTTTGCATTAGGACAAATATTTTTTTTTTTACGTTTCATAAGTATTACAAACTAAGGTCAAAAGAATAAGACCCAAGACAATCACAGATTTACTGGCTCTGTACTCATTTTCCTCAGCTGTATTCTCTCTCTTCCAGATCGAGCACTAGTTCTCTCCCGGGACTGGCAGCATTAACCTGGCTCTGAGCCGGCCAAAGTGCTGAGGCCGCCATGGGGAACCAGCTGGCGGGCATTGCGCCCTCGCAGATCTTCCCCGTCGAGTACTATCTGAACGACGTGCCATTCGTCGAATTCAGCGCCAGGTAGGCACCGTCGCTGAAAAAACTGAAATTGTAGATTGTTGCGACGTGACCATTGTGTGGTTGACGTGGTGATCACTCTATTTTGAATTGAAGGCTGTGTATGAAATAGGTAAAGCCATAAGTACTGCTTTATTACCGTCTTATGTCCAGTGAATAGTACCGAAGATCTGTATAAAAACAAATATATGTTATCCGTGAGTGAAGCCAATTAGCTGATAAAACACGCACGGATCCTACACGGTCCCGAATTCCACCTGACAACCCGCCCCAGACCACTCCATTTCAATGACCCATCCATGACCGCTCTCCCTGCGCTGCTCTGCCAGTCTGGGCAGCACGCGCTTCATGAAGGTGGCGCGCGCGCACTCGGCCGAGGGCTCGCTGGTGGTCAAGGTGTTTGTGCTGCACGACCCGACGCTGCCGCTCGAGCAGCACAAGAAGAAGGTGGACGAGCTGAAGCACGTGCTGCGCGGCGTGCCCAACTGCCTGCCGTTCCGCTACACCAGCGTGACGGAGCGCTCGGCGCTGCTGGTCAGACAGTACATCAGGTGGGTGGGACGGCGGAGAGGGACCGGGGCATTGATGGTCAGCCGCCGGCTAGGTGAAGGTGTGTTTGATGTCTGAGTTATTTTGATATCATAACAGCGTTACCGTTAATAACGAGGCAGTAATTGGTTTCATGGACCGTGTTCGGCTATGTCGTAGGTCGAATGTATTTTAAATCATTAGACCATAAATTATGTCGTGATCGTTATTCAGGTCAGGATCTACACACTAAGCTCTGTTGAGCGTGGGCTTCGGAAATCACGCTTCAATGATCTGCATTTGGACTAAATTTATGAATGCGGCGAACAGGCATCTTTTTGATGATGATTTATTTGCCTGATCAGCTGAACCCCTGATTGCGGTCCCCAGCTGGTCCTAAGTCTCCCTCCGTTCCCTCTCCGCAGGTACAGCCTCTATGACCGTATGTCGACCCGTCCGTTCCTGACTGAGCACGAGAAGCGCTGGCTGAGCTTCCAGCTTCTGACGGCGCTGGCCGCCTGCCACCGGCTCGGCGTCTGCCACGGCGACCTGAAGCTGGAGAACCTGCTGGTCACCTCCTACCTATGGCTGCTGGTAGCCGACTGGGCCTCCTTCAAGCCCGCCCTGCTGCCCGAGGACAACCCGGCCGACTTTGGCTACTTCTTTGACACGTCCCGGCGGCGGCTGTGTTACGTGGCGCCGGAGCGGTTCGCCAGCGGCGGCCAGCTGCCCCTGGCCGACCCGACGCCGGGCCGTCTGACGCCGCCGATGGACGTGTTCGCGGCCGGCTGCTGCCTGGCCGAGCTGTGGACCGAGGGCGGCGTACCGTTCGACCTGCCGCACCTGCTGTTGTACCGCGCCGGCGAGTACGACCCGCGGGAGGTCACCAGTAGGATCGAGGACGCCGCCGTCCGCCGGATGGTCGAGGCCATGGTGCAGCGGGAACCCTCAGCGCGTCCGGCCGCCGCTGAGCTGCTGGCCGCGCACACACCGGCCGTGTTCCCGCCGACGTTCGCCGGCGTGCTGCACCCCTACTGCGCCGAGCTGGCCGCCGGCGCGCTGACCTCTGCCGACGAGAAGATGGAGCGGCTGGCGGCCGATGCCGACCGGCTGGTGTCGCAGCTCGCCGCCGCTAACCCCGTCTCCCTGCAGGAAGACATCACACTGCTGATCGGAGTGGCGGCCTCCTGCGTCCGCCAGCTCTCCCAGCTGGCTACTAAGGTGCGCGCGCTGCGCCTCCTGCTCCGGCTGGCCGGTCACGTAGCTAGTGATGTCATCCTGGACCGTGTGCTGCCCTACGTACTGGCGCTGAGCCGCGACGCGTACCCGCGTGTGCGCTGCGCCGCGCTGGAGACCACCGTTGGCCTGTTGTCGCTGGTCACCTCCCTCCCCGAGAGTGACGTGCACATATTCCCCGAGTACGTGCTGCCGAACCTGGCGGCGCTGGCGCAGGACCGGGCCGTGTCGGTGCGCGTCTGCTACGCCGCCCAGCTGGCACCGCTGGCAGAGTCGGCGCTGCGGCTGCTCGAGGCGGCGCACGTGCGCGCCACCCGGCCGCATCTGGCCGCCGAGCTGAACACGCTGCACGACCTGGTGCACCAGAAGGTGCAGCTGCTGCTCACAGACTCGGATAACGCCGTCAAGAGGACGCTGCTGGTGCGCGGCTTCTCGCGACTCTGCGCCTTCTTCGGCCGGCACAAGGCCAACGACCTGTTGCTCTCGCACATGATTACATTCCTAAACGATAAGGTGGACCGCAGCCTGCGCGCGGCCTTCTTTGACGCCGTGGAGGGCGTGGTGTCGTTTATCGGCCGCCACTGCGTGCCGCTGCTCACCCCGCTGCTGCTGCAGGGGCTGAACGATACAGAGGAGTTTGTGGCTGTGAAGGCCGTGGACGCCATGCACGGCCTGGCCACGCTGGGCCTGCTCTCCAAGCCGGCGCTGTACGAGCTGCTGGACGAGGTGGTGCCCATGGTGGTCCACCCGAGTCTGTGGGCGCGCCAGGCGGCCGTCGGCTTCATCTGCGCCTGCGCCGGCCAGCTGCGAGTGATTGACGTCCAGTGTCGGCTGCTGCCGCGCCTGGAGCCGTTCCTCTCACACCCGGTGGCGGCGCTGGACAGCCCGGCCGCGCTGCTGGCCGCGCTCGGTCCGCCCGTGCCGCGAGACGTGTACGACCACCTGGCGCGCGCCTCCCACCTGGAGCTACTGCTGGCCACGCTGTCCGAGCGGCAGCGACTGCGGCGCGCCGGCGACCCCGCCTGGCAGCTGCACCTGCCCGACAGCGGCGCCGGCACCACCGCCCGCAACCTCTTCCGGCGACTGGTGGCAGACGGGATGACGGCTGCCGTCGAGGACCACCTGCTCATACTGGCCAGCCACCTCTCCAAGGTGCACAAACACAAGCGGCTGGCGGCCGAGGTGCGCCGGCCGGTGGGCGACACGGGTGTGTCGGTGGTGCCGGTGGACGTCTGTCGCGGCCGGGTTCTGCACCTGCGCTCAGACTCGGACGCCGAGGCGGCGGCGGCGGCGGCTGCGCGCCTCCCGGATCCGCCGCCCGTCGAGTCAGACGTGGAGCGCGGCGAGCCTGCGGAGCCGGCGGTCACCGCCGGCTGCGACCCGGGCTTGCGCGCGCTCGAGTCGCCCTGTCAGGCGGCGCTGCAGCGGCTGCTGGAGCGGCAGCGCGCCGAGCGGCTGGCCGTCCGGCTGGGGCGCGAGCCGCGCGGCCGCGCCGGCGCGCCGCCGTCCACCTGGCGGCCCAAGGGTGAGCTGGTGGCGCACCTGCACGAGCACCAGGGCGCCGTGGTGCGGCTGGCCACCGTGGCCGACTCGCCGCTGGTGGCCAGCGCCGCCGCCGACGGACAGGTGCGCGTCTGGGACGTGGCGCGCATGGAGGGCAAGAACATCGCCAACCGGTCCCGGCAAACGTACGGCTGGCCGGGCAGCGGGCCGCTGACGGCGCTCACCTACTGCCAGGCCGAGCAGGCGCTGGCCACCGCCGGCGACGGGGACGCCGTGTGGACGTTCAGCGTGGAGACGAGCACGCCGCGCTCGCACCCGCTGCACTACCGGCAGCTGAGCGCCGCCGAGGGCAGCGTGGTCGAGCTCACCCACTTCGGCTCTGCCGGCGGGTCGGTGCTCGTCTACGCCACCATGTTCGGCCAACTGGTGGGCTGGGACCTGCGCGCGCCCGGCACCGCCTGGCGGCTCGACAACAAGGCGCGCCGCGGCCTGGTCACGGCGCTCTGCGCCGACCCGGCCCACTGCTGGCTGGTGGTGGGTACCTCCAGCGGCGTACACGTGTGCTGGGACCTGCGCTTCCAGCTGGCCGTGTCCACGCTGGCGCACCCGGCCGGCTCGCGCGTCCGTCGGCTCTGCGGCCACCCGAGCCAGCCGAGCTGGTTCGTCAGCGCCGTCTCCGGCAACTCGGAGGTCAACATGTGGAATATCGAGACCGGCGAGCGGCAGGTGAGCTGCGGGACGGGGAACGAACGGCCGACGGTCCTGGCTGATGGATGGGTCTCAGAGCCAGGGCGTGTGCACTGTGCATGACAAGTTGTATCATCATTCCTGTGATTCGTACAGATCTTTCGAAGAACACGTATGTTTAATTACTTTACAGCATTTATCGTCGGTAAATCTCACAAGCTTCATCGTGCATTTTTATACGAATTTTTCGCCCCGCTCTCTTTTCTCTAACAAGTATCTCCCTTCGTCCCCTCCCGTTGTCCGTGTCTGACCCCCTCCTCCCTCTCTCACCTTCAGATGACGCTGTGGCCCAGCCAGCACCCGGCGCTCAGCACCACGCTCCGGGATCACCACTCGGTGACCGCCCTGTGTCCCCTGGGACCGGCGCTGCTCACCGGCGGGACGGACCAGTGCACACGGCTGTGGGAGCTCGGTGAGCCGCGCGCCTCGCAGCTGGTCACCTGGCCGGCGCAGCAGCCGGTGCCCGTGGCCGGTACGTACCGCGCTCAGGTGGTGGACGGTATAGAGGTGGTGCAGGAGGTGTGTCAGAAGGTGCGCCGGCCGCGCGACGACTGCCCGCGCGGCCCCGAGCCCACGCCGCCGGGACACCTGGACACCATCAGTGACATTGTGCTGGCCAAGGCGTCCCAGTGGTACGCGGTGACTGCCTCCCGGGACGGCGTGGTCAAGGTGTGGAAGTGATGGGGTGGCGGGGTGTGTGTGGTCGCCGGGTGGGACAGGGAGGCTGCGGTGAGGGCCGGGGGCGCAGCGGGCCAGTAGGGAGCTCTCAGACGGTAACGGCGGGGAGCGGCGGTGTCTCCCGCTCCCTCTCCGGGGTGGGAGACGGAGACTGTGATGTTTATCCAGGAGTTGCCGTGGTTTAGGAGTGTGCTGATACTGTACAGCCGCGTGATACAAGCCAGCTATCGCATAGGCCACTCACTAAATACCCATCGTATATGATCTTCAAGCTGTCTGGGTACGGTAGCATTGTTACGAATGTATAGTGCCACCGCAATATGAAAGGCAAGGTATATGCTAGCAACGTTTCATATTGAAACTCGCTTGTTCCGTATTTAACAGATTGATTCCTTCACTGGTCCATGCTAGTGGCTCGTCTGGTACAGTTGTCGCTCCTTGGAGGTTGGGACGGGGTGTTACCCATGGTTCAGTTAGCGGCAGCGGCGGTATGGCTGTGAACGTTAGCTGGCCGTAGAGCCGCATATTCAGACGGCAAACGATTGGTTCCGGTAACGCAGCTGCCCTGTGTTTGTGGAGATGAGCTTTCAGTCAGTATGCTTTCGCGCTGTCATCCAGTAATTTTGTCGGCGGTGTAAGGCATATGTGCACGATTGTAATCATATTCATGATAGGTTATGTAATGGATATACGTATTATGCATCTTGAACATTATTGCTGAATATAAGCACGTTGATGTCTATACCAATTACGGTGTTGAAGCTTATATCGATTTATGTCTATATCGATTACGGTGGACGGTGTCCAAAGCGAATAGCTGTAAACCGGTGGATTTCGGATTTACTGGCGCGCTACGCGTTAGCTTAATCAATATATTCGTTCACATCCTCACTACTCCGGTAACAATTAACAAAAACAACCATCACAATTTACAACTAATCAAATCGTAACAATTCGTGCAGTGCAGCCGATTTATCCGCGGATCAGACTCGGCTAAAAACCGGACGCCAATATCCGATGTCGTATCGTGACGGTAACAGCGCCTGCAGCGCCTGGCGTCAGCGGAGCGCGGTTCAGCAGGTGGTCGACTGCTCAAAGTCGATCCGAAACCCCTGCTCTCGCGGCTCGTTGAAGTGTTCGTCAGTCTTGAACCGGAGCACCAGAGGACCGGGAGCACGGGTGACCTGCGGACACAAACGGAGGACATGATGGGCGCCGTTGTACTCGGGGGTAATCGCGTGAGATGCCTGTTGTGCGCGAATATTTGTCACATTTGTACTCAGTCTCCTGACTACTGCGACTTCAGGGCCCTGTTTCGCCGGTGATAGCAGCACGCTGCTTTTACACGTGTCAAATTGGGTTTCCATGGAAACATCAACAGGCCCATTGCTCCAACACTACCACAAGTGTGACGTCAGCTCGCGCAATTTGATAGCAGCGTGGTAGCAGCAGCCCGTGAAACACCGCCCAGGTGGCTTGATGTGATGAACTGAAGGCTCACCTAACTGAGGTAGCACCGACCACCGAGATCCATATGTCGCTCACGAAACGGCCGACTACCTAAATATCGGATACAATCAAAATGCTCTCCTCGCTCGGAGTTTGTTCTCACTCCCCAGTGAAAGTCGTTTGTCGGCACGACCTTCACTGTCGGAAGGTTTGTCGCCCAATCCCACATTCTAAACACTGGACCTCACACGCCAGTGCCACTCACCACGGGTTCGGATGTGGACTTTCCGGTCATGTAGTGCAGCAGCGAGCCGCAGTATTTCTCGTTGGTGGGCGACTCGCCCGTCTGAGACCCTCCAGGGATGAACAGGTAGTCCGACCTGGGGAGGGGCAGAGAGCGAGACGCGGGGCCGTTAGAGGCGATTTAGTCCCATCGAGTGCTTAGACTGTTGTCTAGTCATGGACGAGACTTTCATGGAACGGTCTAAGCATGCCTCGCTATACATCTACAGGTAAGCACAGTTGTCGGCTCAGCTTATGTAAAGAATCTTATTCAGTATCATCTTTCACATGCCCGGACTCCAAGACCTAGAACGTCTGTCAAGACAGCCTCAGATTCAGATTCACATTAGACCCACCGGAGTCCGTCCCGGGCCCAGCCACCCCTCCTATCTCAGCGGAGTCCACATCGGGCCCAAACTCATCTCACCGGAGTCCGCCAGTACCGGAGGTCTGGACGTCGCAGGCGGCCATGCCGACCCCGGAGGTCGCCGAGGCGGTCACCATGTCCAGCTGGAAGCTGGAGGACGTGAAGGTGGTCTGCCGGCGAGAGCAGGACCACGTCAAACAACTCACGTTCTGGCTGCTCCAGAGGACACAGGCTTGTCAGTTAGCTCAGTGAGTTGATGTCGCTCAAGCGGTCACATGTTTTATATCTCAGTGACCTGTGTATGCTTTCCTACCTCAACATAGCCCGCTTTATGTAACTACTAACCACAGATGATTTTGGAGTTTGGGAGTCTTGAAATCACCGTCGGTCACTTACCTTGCACGTGCCGAAGGCGGATCCGATGCAGATGTTGTAGTCCTGGTTGAGGGTGTAGGCATTCCCGGCGAAGTTGAAACTCTCGAACGTTCCTTTCGTTTCGTTATAGTACTGAGTGCAGCCTGTCGGAGCTGTGAAAGACGAGATCGTCGATCGACCGAAAGCAAAGCGCTGCGATCGCCTCAATGATGTTGACGATCTAAATAAACAACTAGAGAAAACTATAAGCGAATGCGTGCTTATAAGGACTGACACCGTTTTCACATACTACCTAATGGTACTACAAAGCAAATATTACATCACGTAAAAATCACGATCAAATTATTACGTGAAGCTTCCCGCCTCATTCACGTGTCCTACCCGTTCCGTCGTGCGCACCCAGCCCCGGTCCACTGACCTATGAGGTCGCTGCGTTCGCTGCAGTCCACCTGAGTGGCGCGGATCCGCCACTTGGCCCCTGTCGTCTGGTCCTCCAGCCTCACCATCATCGAGAGGTGCGCCGTACCGCGACGCATCGGGTTCAGGTGAACGTACACTGCGGGGAAGGGGGCCGTAACGGTAACGTCGTAGGGTTTCAGACACCGGGGTGGTCTAAATGTGAGGGAACGAAATCTTGAGATTTTATTACCGCTCATGACAGTCGCTATTTTCTCAGTGTCATAAAGGACTAAAGCAAATACTATTTCATACACTTCTTCGGCTTTTAAATCATCGCAAACAAAATGTGCCAATTGAAATACCTACATATGTATTTACCGCGGTCACATAGCTGTCGCCATCTGGTATACATAGCCAACTGACTCACCGTGCTGGCCTTTGAGCATGCCGCAGAGTTTGTCTGTTCCGATCTGCAGGTCGGAGCCCGATCCGGCCAGGTCCAGGTAGGACCTGTCGCACGTGCCCGCGTCGGCACCCGTCGTCTCCGGGCCGCGCGTCTCGAACTCGTCAAAGTCCAGCCTGTCGCACAACAGAGCCTCGTTAAATCGTGCTCTCCAGCAATCACTGGAGTGGAGGAAAGGACAATCTTTGGAAAAAGCTTGGTCTGATGGTTGAGGGCTGGCCACTTGAATTTGTTATTCACCCAGTTTTCCGTCTGTCCGTTTATTCGGCGGCGCGGCGTTCACACTATTACAGGAAGTCGTGCGGCACAGTATGCATTCAGGCGTATACCATTAGTGACACCTAGCGGCAGCGTTGTGAACATCGGCACCGCTGGGCTGTAAATCTGACCGCGGTGTCTGAACGATCACACTCTTTGAATATTTCCCCAAGAAAGTCATAGAAAGTGATGTATATCGAGACGTTCGTTCTTCTTCCCGGATCTGCGATCATCTAGGCCCGAAAAAACTCAGCCGAATCTGAAATGTTCAAAGACAAGATGGACTTTTTACTGAATAGTCGTGCGTCTCATCGATATCAGTGTGGATGTAAGTGCCTACCAATGCAGCACGCGAAATGTCAGTGAAATAATTCTCGTACAAATGGCCAATGCAGTCGCTCTAAGGTGTAAATGAGGATTGGAAAAAGCGTCTCGCATTTGCAAAAGCTGTTCAAACTGCTGGCATCCCGTCTCAGAGCCACATACGAAGCAGTGACTGCCCATCACATCATCGATCCGTAGTTAGTGGCATCGACAAAGAACAGCGAACAATGTGGACCTATAGCACTAAAACCGTAACAGTCAACACAAAACGGCGTCGACCGGCCCTAACTGTGGCTGTCAATGATAGCTGTCACCAGCACAGGTCCAGGCCTGGCTATGAAGTCATAAAGGCTGCCATTGTGTTGTGCTGGTTCTGAAAAAGTGTTAGAGGTGCACCAATAAACGACAAATTGAACCACTTGTGAGCTGTAAGCGGTCAACAAATTAGTAGTAACAAGGGTGTATACTGTATAGGCTAGTTACAAGTCGCTGGCGTATTTTCAAGTTCATGAGCACCGGACTCGCTATTATGATCTCGTCATTGGATGGTTCTGAGTCAATTAGGCATTCGGTTGCGGTCATGTCATTTGTCATACACAGTACACACATTGAAAGGCTACCACGGCGGGGTAAAAAGTGATCCTTCTATAGTATGTTCCATATCAAACTTGCGGTCGGAGTTCCTTCGCAAGTTCCAAGGCCACGGCAGTTCGCTCCTCCGTTCAATAATTTGCGCCTTTGAATGCAAGAGCTGTGTGTAAGAAATCACGCATTGCTTTCAGCAGGGCACTTCGTCCGCAAGCTTGACATGGAACAGACATTAGGAACAGTTTGCCTAACCTATCATGCATCGAACCACATCGAGCAATTAGGAGGGAAAGCTAGATCACAAAATATGGATAATGGGCAGGTATAAGGGCATAGGTTTTTAGAAACGATTTGACTTATGTCATTCGACAGATAATTATTTTGGGATTAACGGTTGATTATAATGCACATTTCAGCCGACACAATTTACGAAATGTGCAGCAAATGAGGTATTTTCCGAAGACAATTCGCCCGACGGCTGTTATACGTCTCAGCCATCTATTTCACCGTAATGTTCGTTCTGCGAGGTTTTACAATCGATTACACTTATTTTGTGGTAACCAGCTTGGATTCCTGCATAACTTATCAATAGTGATTGGATGACGTTCACTTCACTCCCTTTTAGGAGCTGCTTTTCGAATAGGGCATTTGCTGCGTAGTATTTAGGAGCGGTAAAGTAGCCAGCACCGTCCACCAAAGGTTAGGTTTTACGTAAAACACCCAGGCTAGGCACGTTTTACAGGCGGTTGTCAGCCCGCGCATATATCCTCGGCTCGCCAGAGCCTCACTACTATAGATATATCAACAGTTAACACTGCCCTGTGAATAGGTACTAACTAATTCAATCTAATAAAGCAGCTGCATATATCAGTCATTGTTGTAAATGTCACACTGTCCATATTCGTAAACATTATCATTTACAAAAAAAATAAAAAATACACAAATCGCTTTTCTGCTACGGCTACAGAGCCATTTTATCACGCCATTTCTGTCCCACCCCATCCTCCCCTTTCAGGGTCCACCTGGCCAGCTGTTGGCTGAACACTCGGCCCGTAACGTGTGGTAATGTCGGGCCGATTGTTGATTGGGCACTCTGTCCGCATTGTGTGCTCATTTGCCGTCCCTGGCCACTGCTCAGACGTCCCTGGAGCCCATTAGGGTCGACAGCCACCCGTTCAGCGGTATAGTCAAACATTGTTATCGACGGAATGAGTCAACAAGTGTGCAGCTCTGGGACACTACAGTTTCTCGTGGTCAGTGGTCAATCAATGTATGGGACTCGAATAATCATAACGTGTATTTTGAACGGTCAGTGCGGTCTTCTGGCACGACTGGGATGTATGGGACTTCATCATTGGTTGTGCGTTCTGTGAGCGCAAGAACCGAAGCTACAGATAAATATCAAATTCACATACTTTATATACTCGTATCCATGATATTTGCTGTTGTAAGGCCAAAATTCACTGACAACTGAAAGAGGCAGATGCAAGCAGGCCATTTTCCCTCAACATCTGGAAACCTATCCGGCAACTTATGCCCTCTCTGACCAGCTTATGAGCCTCCAACATTGCGCAAAACGTGAACCGGGCTGCATAAATTGCGACTGATGCCTGCACTTAGTTCGTTTCACTCTATATTCCTTGCTTTGTTCTTAGCCTTTTGAAGGTAATTTCTGAATAAGGAGCCGGACACTGTGATAAAGCCGAATGCGCCCCGGCCATTGATCTGTTTAAATTCGTATTGTCTCAGTACTACTGAGTAGAATAGAGCTCAGCGGCAAATGCAGACCATTCTTTTCTTTTCAAACGTCTCTGTCCCTGGGAATCAAAACATCTGGTAAGACTAACATTTCAACTTTAAAGCGTCCAAGCTGGTAATTGCCTGCGATTATTGCAGGCATGTACGACAGTAGTCGCATCGTCACAGATAGACGGGTCAATATGTCTCCTGTTTTACACGAACAAACTGTTACACTTACACGAACAAACTGTCAATTACCTGTCAGCACAAGCTTGTTCTTATAATTACACGGCAAAATGTTGCGAGACTAATAAGCATTCAGCAATTTAGACACATGAGAACCCAATTTCATCGCTGCTGTAAAAACAGCAGGTAAGTAGAGACAGAAAAGTGTCGGATTGGCGTTTCAGCAATGCAAATAAGATATAAAATGTCATTATCCTGTTATTTGTTATGATCTCAGTAGGGGCGAACTATATCTGTCCAGATTATGATGGACTTCATGTTTGACCTTTTAAAACATTCGCAGCTAATAACAACAGGGCTACAACTAGATAAGACAGCTAGGCGCCTTCGTCGATCGTCGGAGCCGGCTGCCGCAGTCGATCTCGTCGGCTTCGCGACCGTCCCCCTTTCAGTCGAGCGTCGGAGCGGCTCCCGTACGTGTGTACCGGCCAGACGTCAGTGAGGCAGTCAGATAGATAGAAGAGGACAGCTCCCCTAGGTCCGTGTGTGCCGGTCAGACGGTCAGAAGGTCTGACAGCCAGACGGTCAGACGAACAAACGGGTAGCTCCTGTCCGAGTGCGCGGTCAGACGGTCAGAAAGACAGCTCCCGTCGGCGCCGGTCAGACGATCAGACGGACAGTTTCTGTCTGCGTGTGGTCAGACGGTCTGTACAACTCTCCGGGAGTGTGAGTGGTCAGACGGGTGACTCGTCCTGGAGGGAGATGCGCTGGGTTTTGGTGCTGCTGCTCGGTGTGACGTTGGAAGGACAGGTGTTGGAGCCGGGCGGATCTCAGACGACAGAGCTAGCTCGGGATGATCAGCAGCGGTCTGGTGTCACTAATTCTGCGACATCCGCTCCCCAGGAGCCTCCAGCTGAACTAGAACTGGCTCCGGTTCTTCCTGCAGTGCTGAGTACAGCACCGACTCATATGGTTGATCAGCCATTTATAACGCCTGCCAAATCCAAATATGAAGCCACCAAATCGGGATCAACTTTTGGAACCGCACCGTCTGCTACGACAGTACCTGATGCGAATCCACATGGTGCAGTGACTCCTGAAGTGGGCGAAGGTGAAACATCTGCCTCTGATACAGCGCAGGTCGACGCAACACCCACTCAATCTACTTCACCTGGTACAGCACCTCGTGAAGCAGCTTCAACTCAGACCTTGGAACCTGACGTGACGCCCGAACTGACGCCCTCTCAAATGCCAGGCCCCGAGACGACAACGACTGGTTTTCCTGCTCAACTGACTTCCTCTCATGGATCAATCCCTGAGACTGCTTCGTTTGCCTCGACGCCCGACGTAACGTCATCTGACACATCACTTACTTGGTCGACTTCACTTCGTGCATCAGCCAAAGAGGGGAGTTTCACAATTTCATCAATTCCTAGAGCTAGTTCGGCCGGTACACCGACTCCTTTGACGACATTGGATGATTCCGTTCCTGAAACGACCTCTCCTGTAGATACCCAAACAGCAGAAGTAATTGATCAAGCTACTTCCCCGTCCATCGAATTAGCATCTACAAAGGCCGTTATAGATCTGTCTGACCCAGGCCATTTGTTACAAAAGATAACTTCACCTTCGTCATCTTCTGTAATAGTTTCAGACCAGAGGTCACTTGAAACAATTACGGCTGTAAACTCACCGGAAAAGCATATGTCTGGTTCTCTGCTATCTAAGCTTAGTTCTCTTACACCTACCAGTTCTATTTCAGCTACACTCTCTTCATATTTGAGCGGTGTCAAAAATGAACCTAAGTCGCCAAAGGAGTCATTATACTTGTTTAGCTCTAAGGTTCCAGTCGTGGCCCATATAACAGTACATTCAATGCCTCCTTCTCCGGAGTTGCGCCAGAAGTTCGTCACTTCCGGTAGACCCAAACCATTCCCGGAACCCGACGAGCAAATTAAAATCACCTCATCCGACGTAATCCAACACTTGTCACCTTCTTTCGAACTGGCAGGTCCATCCTTCTTACATCCTGATCCGACAGTGCAGTCGTTCCCAGCTTTGGAGTCACGTAAAGTGACTGACGACTTGGCGTTGAATTCTGTTGTTGCATCCAACTTCCCGTCATGTTCTGTCCCATCAAAACCTACAGCAACCTCAGTCAGGACAGTCTCCATTCAGTCACCGCATTCACCAATTGACATGGCATCTTCAGCCCAAGCCACTGAGCCCTCGGCATTACCGGATCCGGCTAAGTCGTCACCTTTTGACTCACCCGAGACGACTTCAATTCCTTCCTACATGACTATCACAAAACCAACTGATGTCAATGAAGAGAGCTTCTCAACTTTAGTCAACCATGAAAAATCCGAAGAGTCGACAACTCCACTCGCAGTAACGACTCGAGGTGCATCCGTAGCACCACCGACAACTAGTCACACTCATGTAGTTGGTCTAAACACAACCGCAAATAAGCACGCTTCAGCAAGCTTGGAGTCACTTCACGAAGCAATGCCGATCACGAACGAGTCCAAATGGAATTCAGCGCTAACTGATCACGCCCAACTCACCACTGTGCACAACCCTCTCCTGCCCTCCTCTCGTCTGTCCACGCCGGCTCGGCGTCCCGCCTGGCCGATCTCGCTCCCGCCCTCCCCCCTGCCGGCGGTGCTGGCTCAGATGACCTCCCGAGACGACGTCGTCCTTCTGGCCGAGGAGCACCCTCTGCTGGGCTCGGCGCTGCGCCAGCTGCACGCCGCCACCCGCTCCCTCCAGCTGGCAGCGCCCGTCGGACGACTGCGCTGGGCGCCCACCATGCCGCCCGCGAAGACGTGCGTCCTCTGGCTTCACGAGGCGACTTGGAGGCGGATCCACTCCACCCGCCCGGCCCGCCTGCTGCGGCGCTGGGGTAACCGCTGCCGCCGAATGCTCGTCGTCGAGTCGGCCAAGGATATCGAGCGGTCGGTGAGTAGAAAGCTGCTAAGGTTCGACCAGGCGGAGACGGTCTCGGTGGTGATGATCAGCAAGGACCTCCGCTCGGCGCAGGTGTTCGCTCATACCATCGACTGTGTGGACAGGACTCTACTCGGGACCAGCCTGGTCGCCAACGCCACCGCCAGAACTCCTGGAGACGTGGCTGTAGTCCCCGAGCGACGCACTTCCGGCTGCCGAGGGGGCTGTGGTCGGGGTCCCACATGGTTTGTCGAAGGACGAGATGAACTACGTGGGCACACGCTACGCGTAGCCACCACCGCCGCTGTCGACACCATCTACGCCCGCTTCGTGACGGAGAATGGCGTCCGGCGCACAGTCGGCGTAGAGGTGAACATGCTGAAGATGGTGTCGAAAGCTCTGGGTTTCAAGTACGAGCTGACGGAGCCGACCGACCTGCACGGTCTGTTCGGACAGGAGGAGAACGGAACCTGGACGGGTGTCATCGGGATGATCCTGAACGGCTCGGCCGACATGGCGATCGGCGACATATCGGTGACGCTGGCGCGCAGCCGGGTGATTGACGTGACGTACCCGTTCCACCAGGAGCCCGTGTCGTTCATGCTGCGCCGGCCGCCGCTGCTGCCGCGATGGGTGGCCATCGCCGCGCCGTTCGACGCCACCACCTGGGGTGTGCTGGCCGCCGCGCTCACCATTGCCACGCTGTTGTTCGCCGCCGTGCCGGCCCTCTCCGGGGGACCGGCCGCCATCGGCGGGTGGACGCGGCTCACCAACGCCGGCTTCGTGGTCTGGGCGAGCATCACCGGCCAGGACCAGGTGCCCGACCCGCGCCACGCCCTCGGACGGTGCGTCGCCCTCCTCTGGGTCGTCTTCTCCGTCATCATCGGCGTCTACTACCAGACGATGCTCGTGTCGAAGCTGTCGGTGCCGGTGTACGGCCGGCCTGTCAACTCGCTGGAGGACCTGGCGCTGTCCCCGTTCGAAGTGAAGTCAGCCAGCGGCACGGCGGCCACCGTCTACCTCGAGTCGTTCCGCGGCGCCGACACGCTGTTCGCCCGACTCCCGGAGAAGATGACCCTGTTCCCGATCGAGGACCTCACCAGCAGCACCGCACCGCTGGACGACAAGGCCGCCTACGTCAACGAGCTGGGTCACCTGCAGCACGCGCTGAAGGACCGAAAGGACCGGCACCTCTACTACATCTCGCGCGCCCGCTTCTTCCAGACGGGCCTGGCGTGGCCGGTGCGGAAGGGCGCCTGTTTCGCGCGCCGGCTCAACACCTCGGTGATGCGTCTGCTGCAGTCGGGCATAGTGGAGCTGTGGCTGAGTGTGGCACGTATCCGCGACCGACCGGAGCCGGCGGCGCCGCGGGCGCTCACCGTCGGCGACATGGCCGCCGCCCTGCTCGTGCTCACCGTCGGGGGAGCCGCTGCCACACTCGTGTTCGTCCTGGAGCTGGTGCTGAACCAGCGCTCCCGGCGCGCGCAGAAGGAGGCCTGGAGTCGTGTCAGTCGCCGCCTGACCCGGGCGCAGGCGCCGTGGGGTCAGCGGGCGGTGCGTGAGGGGACGGAGAATGGAGAGGATTCAGCGGGCCCGGCTCCAGCTGTGCCGTCACCGGAGAGAGAAAGGTACTGAGGGATAGCCTCGAGGTGGGCCAGGTTCACTGCCTCATAACGATGGTCCGGATGTGATGCTGTTTAGGAGCAGGAACAGCTCATATAGATAGGTGATTGTCGCATAACTGCATTGGCTTTATTGAAAGCACATACTTTGACCTTTTTAGCTTACATATCTAGCTGATTCTGTCTTGTTGATAGGTATGATTTTTTAGAATTATAGAATTTAAGAATTGTATTGTTAGAATTGGATTTTAACAGGTCGTCACCACCTAGAAAAGGGAAAGATCGTTGTGGCAAATTGTTGCTATAATAAAAGCATAGGTGCATGACTCTGTGCAATAATTACAACGTACGTCTTGTGACTGGACCGAGCGAGCCAACGTGTTCCTATCTCAGGAGCAGTCTGAACGCCGTCAATGGACTGACCTGACCTGGCAGATGTCGGGGTCAGTGACCTCCAGTCGGAAGTCGCACAGCTGGTCGGCAGAGTCCGTCTCCGGGTAGTTGGGGTTGACGAAGTAGGCGATCTTCTGACTCGTGGTGTTCCGACACGATTTCTCCACTGAAACGAAATAAATAAAAACGACACTTAGCCACGCATAGTCACTATTTTTGCATGCCTTTATCAAGCTACGATTCAGCTAAGTAGTGCTGTTAAATCCCTTCCATAACGCTTGAATCGATTGGGCGAAAGGCAAGAACACTGCTCCGAGTGCTCATCTCTGGCGGACCAGCGTCCAATATACAGTGAGCAGGTAGACTGACCCGCACTACACCTGTGCATTGCGGCACAGTCTAACTACTGGATACCACAAAGCCAGCAAATAAACGTAATATTAGCCATTTTGACGACGGGTTATCTGCCGAATGCACCTAATTTGACCAAACTTGCACCAAATCTCTTTCACTAAGAATATTTCATATCATGAATTCATTTCAGTGTTATAATCGAAAATACTGTCGGATAATTAGAGAAATCAGATATATAAGCAACTGTATAGGTAACCCAAACTGATAGCTTCTAAGAAACACAATGAATCTAATTTGACCAAAACTGCACCAAATTTGATCAACACTGCACCCTAATTTGACCAAATCTGCACCTAATGTGCACAAAATGTGTACCAGATAGCCGTCGTAAAAACAGATATTAGTAAGGCGGCAAATACCAGTCATAGCGCATAAGAAAATCATCCCTGGTAAGTACAGCTATATACTATATAGCTCAAATTTAAAAGTAAATGAGAGTAACAAATCATGACAAAGACAACAACTATAAAATGTGACCATCAAGTAAAGGAACCTACGCATTACATGACATCGTGCGTTCCCACATGCAACATCACTCGGCATCAGCCAATGAGCATTGGGTGTCGTACCATTCAACACACTGACCGCCAGTTTCGTTGATCACCACACTTACCGACGCAGCAGACGCCCAGTCCGCCGGCGCAGGGCCCGCGCTGGTCACCTCCGCAGCCGTCGGGCAGGGTGCAGATCCCCTGACCGCTCTCAGTCGAACAGGGCGAGTTCTCAAAGCGGGTCACCGAGAATACGTTGAAAACTGCAACACGAACACGAGCCGGAGCGACAGACCGAGACGTCAGCAGGGGAGGGCTGGGCGGGGCGGAAAAAAGAGCACGCGCTGGATGATACGGCACAGACTACCACCCGAGGCCACCGAGATTTGTAACTTACCACCGTAATATACCACTTGTAGTGTATTATTATATGTATTATAGCACTTGTAATATACCACCGAGTCAACCGTTTTGCTGCACTCGATAAGCCATTTTATTGCAAAGAAGTGTAGTCAACGAATGCCCATGTCCTCGATATATTTATTCATTCAAATGTTTTCATCTATTGAGGGTGCAATAACTTAAAGCTTTTTTGCAATATCCTGCAAACCGGCAACTGAACGAACGTGATATGAAAAGTTATGGAAGTTTCAGTGAGCTTCGGCTCTTTTTTTCTCACACTGCACAAGTCAAGCTACTCAGCACTCACAGCGAGGGTCTCGAGCCGCCAGAGCGGCGGTGACCGCCGAGGCCCACAGAACGAGAAGTCGAACTCCTGGCATGTCTTCAGAGCTGAACGTAACACCTGCCTCTCCAACCCGCCAGTCGACACTGCGGTGAAGTGCGCCCACACCTCCCAGGAAACCTGTGCACCGGTGCTCGGTACTGACCCGCAGCCTCCCTCCCCTGCAGGCCCTCCGCGGCCCCGCGGCGTCCCGGCCCCACACGGCCCTCCGTCCATTGTGCTCCTCGGAGACTGCCGTGCTGCAGCCGCGCACAATGACCGGTGGTTCGAATGGATTTTACGCGGCCGGTGTGCGGCTGCCGTTGACACGCGCGACAGGGCGAGAAAGTCGGCCCGGGTCAGGTTACTCGCGCTTGCACTGCAATGGGTCACGAGGTCACTCGCAGGGTTAGGGGGTCATATCAGTAAGGTCACCGAACGTTTAACACGCGCAGTGGAAGGGTTGCGAGTACTACGCCCAGTGGAAGGGGGGGGGGCGGATGTCGCCCCCCCCCTAAGATCTCAGCTCCCACTGGAGCTAGAAAGACGAAATTTGGAGGGTAGGTGGGGGCCATGGGGAACTCTGTTGTGTGTGAATTTCATGACCCTAGGTCAATATCTTCAAGGTCAAATGAGGTCAAATGTGGTCAAATCTGCCATATTAGCGACTTTTTTGCGTTTACACGCCGATAACTCAAAAAGTTACCGGCCGATTTTCTTTTTTCTTTCACTATACGAAAGAACAAACATTTGTGAGTATGTATGGTGAATTTCTAGATAATCCAACAATAAATATGGCAGTTAGAAGCCTGCTAAGGGTAAGAGTTCGCCGGCTGAAGCGGGATCGGCCGACGCGGGAAACGCGGCAACCACAATTTTGTGTTTACACACTCATAACTCAAATTGTTACCGGCCGATTTTCAAAATTCTTTGACCATATGATTGCCTGTACATTTCTCAGTCTTCTCACCGAATTTGAAGTGAATCTAATATAATCAGCGGTAAGGAGCGCGATGTAAAGACGGAACCGTCCCGCCCCGGCACAGTCTACAATTCAGGCGGCGCGTAACGGCTAGCGCCGGCCGCCGCGCCGCCGCGCCGCCGCGGCGGCAGGATGTTTGACTTTACATCGCTATTACTAGAAAAGTTGTGAACCGATTTTATTATTTCTTGCACGAGAAGATCCGCAATTCAATTCTAGACAGGTAGCCGAAATTTCACATTAATATTATGCTTGCGGCGCGAGTTATTGGCGAAAAACAGGAGGGGTGGGCGAAATCCGCCCCCCCTTCCACTGCGCGTGTTAAAGCAGAAACAAAACGCCTTTTGTATGAATAAGGGTTTGCACTTTGCAGGCCGTTTCTCCAAGTTCCAACCAGCGTCCAGCATGGTCAATGCACGTACGAGCTTTAACTTAACGGTCACATTCACTATATGTTGCCATCATCCTTCTATATAACAGTGCTGTAAATCTGAAGACAACGAACTGGTTTTCAAATTCAACGCTAATGGCAAAACACGAGAAGTAATGAATAACGGACTAAACGGCACCGTATCGAACTGACATCCCTACTCTGGCCCCAAACTGACCCCGTCGCCATGTCACAGGTAGGTGGGTTTGTCACCCGGTTGGCACTGGTGCGACAGGTCGCAGCTGGTAAATGTCGGAGCCATCCGCTGCCGGCATTTGTCTGACCGACCCCTGTTCGCTGTCCACCGCCCACATAATGCTAGGGAGGCTAAGCACACCTGAATTTATATATTCAATTATTAGGCTTTAATGGAGGATCTGAATGATCATTTCCTATTGGAACGTTCTTTCAACGGAGAATCTCATAGTTTTTTTTTCTTTCTGAGATAGATGATTAGTACGTAGGTATGTACTAACTATGTAGTGTAGTAGGTACCTTGAGAAATCAATGATGTAGGAAAGTCAGCAGTCAAGCTCATAAAACAGAACACAACTCAGTGACCGTCGATGCAGGCGCTATAAAAAGGAAGCATCATCAAAACTGATACCTATACCTACCGAGTCCAAACAAAGCAGGTCTGGCTATTGCGACCCCGAGTGCAGCTACACGTTTATTTGAAATACGGCAGGAATATGATCTGTAGCCTGATTTTTTTTCATTCGGAGTTTTTTTTTTGTCAAATTAGCCGCAGTTGAATATATTTAAACATGCATCAAAATCTGATTAAATGCCTAAGTTTTTTTTTTACCGCAGCATTCAGCTAAAACTTTACCTCTCTACTTTTTGTTGTCATGTTTGACCAGTGACCACACAAATCCCTCCAGAGCCAATTTTTTAAGTGCAGCCGAATGCTATTTACTGTAGGGGAAGTCTGCCTTTTATAAGATTGGGCCAAGATATTATCAGCTCTGTGGCTGCCAGGGTCTCGGTGACGATATTATCGGCCCCGCTATTATTCTTTGTCCACAAGTGTCACTGTCACTGTCACCCGTCGCTCGGTCCCCGGTATCACCCGATGTCACCATCTGTCACGCCCGCGCGACTCGTCCCGTCAGGGGGTGAAAGGTCCCGGATTCAGGCCGCCGTGTCCCACGATCACCCCACCATCGCTCCAGTCCGCCCAGAAGCGGTCCCGAGCCACCACCTTAGGTTACCGAGGAGCAGCCCGAGGCAGCGCCCCAGGCTACCGGCAGTAGCGGCCCAAACCACCGCCCCAGGCTACTGGGGCAGCAGCGGCCCGAGCTAGCGCCCCAGGCTACACGCAGGGGCGGTCCCGCGAGCCAGTCCTCAGGTCACAGACGGACGACAGACGGACAGACGGACAGCAGGTGAGGACTGAGGTCAGCTTCGTCACCACTCTGCGCCAGTGCTGACGCCGCGGGACACGCGCACTGTGACTGTCGTCTGGCAGAGAACAGGTCCTACACCCTGAAAAGTAAAACTCCGGCTGGTTAACGACACAATCCTCCCTGTTGATATGTTCCTCTGCTGACCTTAAGTTCGATACGCACAAATTATTGAAAGCATCGTTGTATAACGCATCTGCCTAAAATGTTAGCGGAAAACGGTTGACACAGGTATCTAAAGGTTGATGTCGCGTCCAAACTCAGCCGTATTGCTTCATCAGCAAGTTGACGATTTTCTGTTTTCTCTGATCAACAGGCTGCGGTAACGATCCCCTGATTCGGCCGCACCCGACTGCATTGGTCAGCATGGCATCCCTACAACGAATGGCTTCCCTCCTATCATGTAAGTATAAGCGTACTTTTTTGTACGTATTTCGAAAAAAATGGTTTATCTATAGGGTCTCATGTCAGACGAGATGAGCAGCGTAAATTTTCGCTGCAGCAGACCATTCCACACGCTGCGAATACAAGACACGAACATTTTCAAGCGTAAATACTTCGAACGTACGGAGTCGTAAATCTGAACTGGCGACGCGGCCGAGACTATTCGCTAAAGCTCTCCTATTACTGTACAGTAGAAGTAATCGATGGTCCCATTCTCCCTCGCTTCATGCTGATCGATATGGTTGTGAGATAGTTACGTATCTTTTTCTTTGGTATTTACGCCATACCACGCCTATGTTATCACAACTCAAGCTAGATTCCCAGCATAAACGCAACGTGTTTTAACCAGCAAATATTTTGTAATAGCTTATAGAAGACGTGCTGACTCGTTTTTTATAGGTATCTTGCTTTGTATCGCTCTGACTGGCCCCGTGCTCACCGAATCTAAGCCAGCCAAATCTGAGTCCAAACTAAAAAAGGCAGCAAGAGCTATTTCAAGAAAACTGGAGATGCTCAAGAAAAGCGGGCGAGCTGCAGTCATTGGCTGTAAGTGAATTCATACCATTTTAATGTACCTTGTTAGTTGTTGTCAGCTACGTTTTGGCGAACCTAAGACCTGAATGTGGGCGGTTGTGGCAGTCATGCCATTATGGACGGATGTTGTTTGGACTGAGCGGCGCCCTTACGGCCGGCGTCCTGTGGGGCCTGCGCCCTCAGCGCGGCGCCCAGTGTCATAGTTGGGCGCGCGGCGCCCCGAGTCTCAGTGAGCTGGTCTGAAGCGATACGTGCTCATTTCAGGTGGACCCGAGGTAGTCGGGGAGGAGTGCCAGCAGCTCGTCGACGCCTATTACAGCCTTCCGAAATGTAAGAAAATACTTAAGGGTATATAAAAATCACGTCATTGATACCACAGCTCTATAATAGAAGGAATTGAGAAACTAAACTAAGGTATAGTTGAGTAATTTTCGCCATTATCCTCCGAACACTGAACAAAAGATGATTCCTAAATGTATATGCTTCTTAGACCATACCATGGCCGTTTCGGCAGGCTGCTGTTGCTATAGGCTCAGTACATAACTCATAGTGTGCATGGAAACTGGTTGATTGTGAAACTGGTGCGCATGGAAATTGCCGGCGCTGGCTGAACTAAAACAAACGAGTTCCTAAATGCGTTTCGATCCATGAGGCGCTGCAATTAGCCCGATGATAGTTCATTGCTAGCTCGGTCTAAAAAAAACACTAGTTACCTACTACATATCATATGTAGCAATGCATGGCGCACCATGTACAAAGTATAGGGTAGCCTGGGGCAAGATGCCCCAGATAATCTATTTTGCTACATAACTTTTGTCCCACATGACCTGGAAGGCTAAATTTGTGCTCAATGCGTTCTTTGGACATTTTGCTTTAAATCCCACCTCTCAAATTATTTCACTTATGATCGGACTCCCAGCTAGCTAGTGACTTGTGAAGCAAATGGGTCATTTTGCCCCAGCCCCAGGGCAAAACGGCCCACGGCTTCGGGCAGGAAGCCCCATACTCTAAACATGGTAGCTGGCTAAATCTTATATGAGAGGTCCGCTAGACCTCTGGAGGCACTGCACTGAAGTTACCACATTTCATCCTAACTATCATGTGTTCAACTATTGTATGAGTTCAACTATTGTATGAGCAGCTTTTTGACCTGCCTCATATGCCAAATAATAAATTATTGCAATGCATAGGTTAACAAAATACTTCCTTTGCCATCCAGTTGCTGGGAAAAATACACATAAATGCATAGAATCTTACTGTTTGCCAGCTACCAAACATTAGGAAGTGGGTCCGAGCAACGCATGAGGTAAAACGCCCCATGGGGCTTTTTGCCCCACGACCTACTGGGGTGTTTTACCCCATCACGTAGTTCGGTCAGCGAACAACGCCTTGCGCTCCAGCAAGACATAATTTACACGAACCAGCCCGGCATTATATGTAAGCGTTAGACAAACGTTGTTCAAAATACATTAAAGTCGCTAGCCTGATATGAACCATAAAAGAACGCCATGATGCATAATCAGACAACAAAACATGTAAAAAACTCAAAAAACACATTTTTGGCTATATCTCCCTAAAGAGTTATCACAGGTTCTTTCCAGTCTGCTCATATAATGATCATATAGGGCACGTTTTATATAAGAGAGGATGTTTCCCCAGAACCTTGCCACTTCCGAGAAACATCGGTGAGGCGTTTTACCTCGGCGGGGCGACTTTCCCCGGTGTACCCATATACCTATAGTCTGTAGCTCGTAATGCTTTTTATGTGCCGCAGATCCATGCACCACACGTTACGGCGACTTCCCAGTGCCTCAGCAGCCCAGGAAGTTCTTCCGATGCCGAGGAGACATACTTACCTTAGAAGACTGTGGAAAGAAGTATGTTTTCGATTCTAAGGCCTCCTACTGCGTGCTTGAAAAACGTAAGTCGACACTTGAGTCATTTAAATAATAAAACAATTGTTCTTTACACACATGCATGCATGTGAACATAGGTGAACCACTCAATCCGAATTATGGCGTCAAAGCGTTGGTGTCATTCGTTGATGAGAACTGGTGTAGCCTTCAGCGATTATTTTTGGTAAATTTAGGTGGCAAGGATGGGTGGTAAGACGCAGCCGTGACTCAAGCAGCATGTCAGGTCTGCTGCAATATAACATCGAGACATAAAAGTGAATCATAACGGTTTTGTTTACATTTTCGATAACCGGAAAGGTTAGAGCTCATATAAAAAAACTTAAAAACTAATAATTTTCGCACATCCTCCAAATATAGCCTAGCCATGGGGTAAAACGGCAAGGTATGGCAGCAAGGCCAACTTTCCGAACCGCACAGCTGGTAATGAATACCCAAATGTGAAGCGCAGCTGCATTTATTTCGTTTCATTTTCTTGTTGGTCTCGCTTGCTTGCAGAAGACAGGAGATAGGTATACGAGCTTCGGGAATACGAAAGAATGAATATTTATGAAGAGTCGGAAAACAAACACGAAAATACAATGATAAGGTGTGCGGGTTTATTAGAAACGCGCTAATCGATTCCGAATACTTTACACTCAGACGCTGCCCCACAGGTCGACCGACTAAAAGGAAAAACGCGGTAAGTCGAGGGAGCAAATCAAACTCCACCGAGGATGCAGCGAACCCGAGCGTAGTCGCGGCCGCCAACGCCGTCTGCCCGAGAGGCTTCTTCTCACCTCTCTTAGACGTTTCGGCTGACGTGGACCTTTTAAAAGAATGCAAGTAAGTCTTGTTCGATGTGCCCGATTTTGCTGTATCAGATGTGCGTAATTTGTGCTGAAGTGTTTTGATTGAGCAATGCATCTGAAGCTGGAGAGGAGCACGAATAGGTATGTTTTTTTTGTAATATGTTCGTTATGTTTAAATTAAAAACACAAAACTTGCAGCGCGCATCGCCCATTAGGAGCCATGCCATTGTGCAAGTTGTAATGTGGATCAATGTTTAGTGGAGTCTGCTTATTAATAAAAATACCCGATTTCGTCACAATGTTTAAGTTTTCTGTGGCTTCATCAATATAAAACAAATATAAAAAGTAAAAACACCAACAACACATTGCACATCGAATGACACTCTTGGTTGCTGGGTACGTAAATCAATAAGGAAGTTAAAAAACTTGAAAGTCCATTGGTCCGTTAAGACCCACACACACAGACCTAAACTGAAGCGATTGGCCACACATGGCCTCCTTAGGAAATAAATCGTGAACAATACTCGTCAGTCGTCCATAACCCATGTTCGTTTCTCTTGCCTTATGCTGACAAAGTCTTATTCAGGGATAAATTATGCGAACATGGAGCAAAAAAGATCAGTCTTCTACGAAGGAATCACTGTCGGAAAAGAGAAGTGGAGCATTCAGCGCCAAGTGCTTATATGGTGACTCGAAGAAAGGTCGTTTCGGTGGCCAGCACTGTGAACTCCATTATGACAGGTACGCCAATCTCCCAACCTGTTTGCTGTTCATAATCACACTGTCTAGATTCAGTTTCATCCGTCTCAGTTGGCTTATACAGGGTGTCCCAAAAGTCTTGAGCCTTTGTCGTGTGACAGTGCTATGCCACCGGCTACACGATACCTCAAACGAAAGAAAATGAGCGGAAGTTTCGAAGTTTAGCCCGCGCCCTGCTGGAGGTGTTTGAGCACCCCCTGTATTTTTTCGCAAATATCAATAAAACGGCGGCTCGGCGCTGTTTTTGGTACACCTTATGATACACCAATTTTAGGTACACATGTTGTAAAAATTTCAGACCTAGGTCATTCAAGTTCAGGTCACTAGGTCACTTCAAGTGACCACACCTCATACAAGTTTGAATGTCTGCCATAGGTACACCGAGTGACCGATTGCTTTGAAACTTTCAGCGATTGATAGAAGCAACAGTATGTACAAAATATTTATCTCGGAATTTTGATATCGGTGACCTAAGATCATGCCATCTTTCGACCTCCCCATTATAATTCAACGAGAGAAAATTGAAAGGCGCCTCTTTTGAGCGAAAGCCGTTATAAACACGCTCAAACACTGAAACACTATGTAACTTTGACACACTGATCATGAAAATGGTACTCGTGACCCTTGTTTATGCCCCTGAGGTCATCTCAGGTCACGAATGGTATCTAACAGTTTTTTTGCAGATAATTTTTGATAGAGGCACGCTAAAGCGATGAAAACGCCTTGGATGTGTCCAGCTCGACGCTACGGATCGACTGATATGCAATATGATCCTTTTGGGTCAGGTCATCACCTTGACCTGAGGTCAAATTTTTGAGTTGACCTTTCAAGGTCAAATTATAGTTCATTCATTCCATTCAAATATAGATGCATATTGACAAGAGGAACACGATGCCGGTAAAAGCAAGCTCATGCAAGTCTTAAGTCAAAAGTTACTGTAGAAAAACTATTTCCGAAAAAATCGGCTATTTTGGCAGTTTTTACCTCCTGCAGACAAAACTGTTGGGCTAGGTAAAATCTAAGAACAATTATCAGTTAAAAAAGCACGGCCACCCGAGTGCGCTAGGAAACAGCTCCCATTTTTTCCCTTTGAATCGACGCAGTATCATGTGGCTATGGAAAAATGTATTTTGAAATGGCACGATAATGCAACAAAACTTCGTTTGTGATGACCAAAAATTGTTTTGATGCGTGCGCATGCATGTAACACGGTACCGCAATAGCTTTAACCCTATTCCTGGCGGGGGGGGCCTCAGGAGCCCCCCCCTGAGGTTTTTTGGTTATATCTCCCAAACGCGTTGAGCTAGGAAGCTCAAATTTTCTGACTTTTCCTAAAAGGCTTCTACGCAACATGTCTGAAAATTTTGAGTTGATCTGACCTCAGGTCAGGTCACCAGAGGCGGTTTGGTGACGCTACCTCAGAAAAGTTTGCAATCACGCCAGAGCTAGAGTTTTTGACCGATCAATTTCTTCTCTTCAGGGTTTAGTTAGGGTACCAGTATGTGCAATTTGTATATCTCGGAATTTTGATATCGGTGACCTAAGGTCAGGTCAATTTCGCGACCTCCCCATTATAAGTCAATGGGGGAAAAATCAACTCCCTGTTTTTACCACTAAAACGGGTCGGAATGGCCCCATATACCATACATGACTTCATATACGATCAACCTTCACTACCTTGAGGTCTGTTTTGCTGTTGGGCAGCTGTGAGGTCATGTGACGTCATCAAAGGTCACCAAAGGTTTTTGGCCAATAACTCCGTACAGGAACAAGATACAGACGCGTGGATGGTCTCATTGTGTTCAGCTCGTCAAGACGCATCGAATGATATACATGATGACCTCAAGGTCACGTGACCTGAGGTCAACCTTTGACCTTGACCTTTCGAGGTCAACATATATATCATTCGATGCGGATTGACGAGAGGATCACGATGATGCCCTTAGTTTGTTCCTATCTTGACTAATTCGAAAGTTATTCGAGAAAAACTCTCTCCATATCTAGTGCCGCCATTTTGACTTTTTCGACCCCTGTGACGTCATCTTTGACCTGACCTGAAAATGACCTTAGTAAAAATTGTAGATCTTGGCCGTGCGTATCCGATGCCGTTTACCGCTTGTCGCTATCTTGCTTCGTTCTCGAGATCTCAGGGGGGGGGGGGCCGAATCGGCCCCCCCCGCCAGTTTCTTGTCCCGGCGGAGCCCGCCAGGAATAGGGTTAAGACTTCTGGGACACCCTGTCTGTACATTAGGTGATTTGACCTGGCTAGGTTATACTGATCAGCGGCAAGTGGTCGATCAGCCTACACTTGCAGCTGACCAAAACGGAAAATTAGAAATTCAACGGAACGACAAACGCATATGCCCCGAAATGCCCCAAAGGCGATTTGAAAATATGCATACTCTACTGATATTCTGTTGTATTTATGTCACGGGCTGTGCTAACACAGCCAACTCTCCGGTCACTAGCGGCGGAACACCTTCAAGTAAAGGGGGGGGGGGGCACTGCCGACTTTTGGTCCCATTCTTTCCATGCAACGCCAATAGGACTAATGTTAAAATGCCGAAATCAAAGGGGGACACGGTGCCCCAGTGCCCTCCCCGTTCCGCCGCCTATGCCTCCGGTCGTTTTCCGCTTCGTACTCGCATTTAAACGTAAACGGTGTGCTGGAAACGGACGGTATAACTATAGACCAAGGGAGCTACATTTTAAAGGCTATTTGTTGATATATTTTTCTTCCGACCATCATCCCTTCCGGTCGCACTTAACGTCTGGTCGACCCGCTCGGCGTGTTCAGAAGCCCGGCTCTGGTGGGTGGCCGACATTCCGCTCGAGCTGGCCTGGCGCTCTGCGGGTCTGGTCACCTCTCTGCAGGACTGTCTGACATCCTGCAAGGACCGCTTCGTGATCGCCGGCACGTGAGTAATTAGATACCGTTCCGACTCTGTCGCCAAATGGGATACACTGGTAGTGATGGAGCATACACAATGCACATTTATTTTGTATCACGCTGATAAATCGTCTTTGCATATACATTGCATAATGTTCATGCTCACGTGAAGTGAGTAAAAGCAACAATGGTCTCTGGAAAAGATACGTTTTCATTTATAACAGGTTCATTCCATCCCGAGCTACTAGAAGGTATGTACAGGTCTCGCGGGTTTTAGCGGTAGGTTTTGCACCTAGAAAATTTAGTGTACTTCAGGCTATATCTTCGTCGTCTTAAGCTTTTAAGGGTTGAAGATGCGATCGACTTGTTGGGTAACAAGCCGGCCATGATCGTGTAAAATGGCTTCATCGTAGATCGATTAGTTTCCGAGATATAACCGGAAATGTAAAAGTGCAAAACCTACCGCTTAATCTCGCGAGAGCCGTACGTCACTGTACGCATCATTTGCTGATAAACCAGTAAAACGCCTTTTGGGCGAATAACGAACCAGCCAGGGAGTGAGTCCTGCAAGGGCGAGAGGATACTTGCAGCTGGCTTTTGTAATGCACCCTATAAACCGGTCAAAATTTGAAGGCAATCGACTCAGTCGTTCCCGAGATCTGGAAGCGGTACCCTGCACGTGCGCACGTGAAGTGGGACCCTAACCGCAACGCATGGGAATGGATTTCCAAGGTGCCTACCTGTATGCCAAGTTTCAGCGAAATCGCCCCAGTCATTTCAGAGTAATTGTAATGGGGTCAAATTTGACACCTCGTATTGTTCCATTTTTCACGTGCACTGGAAGTGACCCAAATGCATCAAGAGCATCCGATGTTTGGCAGAAGGGATGAAACTACCCTACAAAAATTACCGCAAGTCAATCACCCATTACCGCAGTTACCGAGATAAAGACCTCCCAAAAACGCTAATTCTGTAGACTGCTTGAAAACTCTTGGCTTTTCACGTGGCACGTGCCACGACTGTCACCTAAATGCATCAAGAATAGTCAACCACGGAATAGAAGGAATAAAAAAGACTGCAGGCCAATCGGTCCAGCGGTTGCTGAGTTATAAGCCTCTCAAAAGCGATACAGGCAGAGTCGGATCGGGCTGGGCCGCTCATACTGAGATTTTTCCGTTATATTGAAAAGAGTTCGCTTCGCTCGCTCGCTCGTAATTATGGAAGCTATACGCCACTTTGCAGATGCTTTTTATAATGAATGCAGTAAAATGAGCTGCTTATATTTTTATTGATGTTGCATATATTGCACAGGAATAGCATGTGGATTGTAAAGCCCCATACCAAGCGGCCAAACGTAACCCTTCTCAGCGTCTTACTTTTACAGTATCCTAATACCTACCTACATCCCCTAGCATCATCTTCTGATAAATTAAAGCGTTGCTGAACGGAGGGAGTACCTAAATACTGTCGTTATCTTGAACAGGTCAACTTGCGCTTGTGGAAGCGTTAGCGAAGAACATCCCAACTTTAACATTTCAAGATTTGTGGAGGAGCAGAACGCAAAGGAAATCGAAGTCAATCATGGATTTCTATTGTATGACCGGGAGGCCTTCAAAACTGCAGGTATGTGTCAGCCTCAATGTTGAACTCATAAGAATTCACGTCGTCATATACCCAACCAACACGCAGTTGAGCCTCCATTTTGTTTCGGTTGATTGAATATTCTTCCCATCAAACTTTTTTTAAAAGAAATGTTAAGATCTATGCACCAAGCTGTTCCATACCCTGGTCGCCGCCGATTGCGCACACGATTCGAACAGCATTCAACGATTTCACATTTGCTCCATAACAGTATCATTTATTAACCAGTAAAACGCCTTTTGGGCGAAGAACGAGCGAGCGAGATAGTGAGCCCTGCACGTGCGGAAGGGAGAGAGGGTACTTCCAACGGGCTTGCGCAAAGCACCCTTCTAACCGGTCTCTAGCGGTGTACCAAATTTGAACGCAATCGGCCCAGCCGTTCCTGAGATCTGGAAGCGGCATTCTGCACGTGCGCACGTGCAAACGGGGTCCAAACTGACTTTTGCACGGCACCCTACTAACTGGTCCCCAACCGTGTACCAAATTTGAGCGCAATCGGCCCAGCCGTTCTCGAGATCTGGAAGCGCCCCCTGCACGTGCGCACGTGCAGTAGCACCTTAACCGCAACACATGGGAATGCATTGCCTGGTGGGTGCCTACCTGTATGCCAAGGTTCAACGAAATCGACCCAGTAATTACCGAGTTATTAAAATGGGAACAAATTTGACACCTCTTATTGTTGTATTTTGCACGTGCACTGGGGGTGACCCACATGCATCGACAGTATCCTATTTTTGGTAGAAGGGATGCTGCTATCCTACAAAAATTACCGCAAGTCAATTGCCCAAGCGGCTGCTGAGATATCAGCCTCTCAAAATCACTACTTTTGCAAAACAGCTTGAACACCCTTGACTTTTCACGTGGCACGTGCCACGACGGTCACTGAGTTGTATCAAAATAGTCAATTACGGGGTAGAAGGGATGGGGCTACCCAGCAAAAAAAGACCGCAGGTCAATCGGTCTAGCGGTTGCTGAGATATAAGCCTCTCAAAAGCGTTACAGGCCGGGCCGGGCCGGGCCGGGCCGGGCCGGGCCGGGCCGGGCCGGGCCGCTCATAATGAGATTTTTCCGTTATATTGAAAAGACTCACTTCGCTCGCTGCGCTCGCTCGCTCGTAATAATTTAGAAAGTGCATTATTCTATAATAATATCCCCAATTTCAACGAAAATGTAATTACTAGATAACATGGAAATATAACAATCCCGCTATCGACACATTGTTGGTGTGCACCATGCATGCTGTTTATTTTGCGTTAAATTGACCCCTGGCCCTCGTTGTAGTGGGCTGGACCTGCGTGGCCCAGCCCGTTGGTTGGACCAGGCAGCCGGCTAAAGGGATGGCAACATGCTTAGTGATATGTGCGAAGACAAAAGCGCCTTATAGCGCCTTTGGCCGGTGAGTTTTGACATACATTTGTGATTTGTGAAATATATCGTAAAAGATAGCTAAGTCACGTAATATGACATCACCGAATGTTACCTACTGTCTGTCAGATTGGTGTTTGTTTGACCTCATCTTACTTAATAAATTATAAGTCGTGTCTGCGTCCGTCAGCCTTATGTGTCTTAATGCGCCGGCACGGCGCCGCGTATCGACGTGAAATTTACTGGACACAAACTTTGGGTGGGGCGGACCATCGTATCAAAAGATGGGCGCAATCGGACCACGGGTGCGGCGTCAGCGCGTGCATCTCTGCCCCAGGCTGGCCGAGGCCGGCGCCGAGCAGAGAGCACGTGCTTTAGGCTCAGTTGTTCGCTTAAAAAATTGAGTGAAAACGATAAAAGCCAGCTCGGGAAGTCAACTCTGTGGATTTAAAGAATACAGGTTTTCAATTAGGATCAGGTATAGGCGCAGGTACAGGTATTTGCATGGGTGTCGATTTGTATACCTTTGAGGGTGCTGCAGCACCCCCAATGCTCAAATGAGCACCCCCAATGGTTTTCCGGGCACCCCAAACGTTCCAGTTTAGCATCCCCAATGATTTGGTCCCTCAAAAACTCCCACTAACTCTGCTTGAGGAAAATAATTGGTTCCGCAGTCTTTCACTACTAAAAATAAAACAATTACGCAACTTACAATGCATGAAGTAAAGATGTAAAGAAAGTAAAAGTTAGTCTTAAGAAGAAGGGCGTAAAAGACGTTAACCCGGCAGGCGGTGGGCCTACCAGCCACCTTCCGCGCGGTGGGGGGGGGGGGCATTTTTTGCCCCCCCCCGTATCTCCGAAACTACTGGACGGATCCGGAAAATTCAAACGGCGTTCGATAGCCCTGTGAAATTTGTCTGGGAAATTAAATTTCATTGACCTCGGGGTCACCGATGACGTCACAGGTCAGGTCAAAGATAAAATGTTTCACCGTTCACGGGGCTTCTAGGGAAAGCGCTATAACACTGAGTAAAACGCATTTTGTCGAAAATCAGCGATGAGGCGTCAGTTGCCTAGTACATATGTTGCTATTAGAGGTCACCGGTCATACCAGGTCAGGTCACAGGTCAGGTCACCAAAGGTCACCAAGGGTCACCACATGAGCCCAACTTTACTGAGGTTATGCGATGCATGTTTTATGGCCAGTTTTTCATTTCCAACTCAATGGTGTTGGATATAAGACCATCAGGTACGGTTTAGGTCACTTTCTGGTGGAGGTCAGTTCAAGGTCAGGTCAAAAAAGGTCAAATTTCAAAGTTGATATTTTTGCATAAAATGGGTATCGATTCGATGCAGCTCGTCACGGGGAGTCTAATGGTGGTCCTTGTTTTGCGCTACGAGGTCTAGAATTGCTAAAGATTGAGTTTGAAAATTTGACGTCATCAATTTTAACCCGCGCCCTGGTGGGGTCTGTTTATAACGCGACCTGGTGGGGGGGGGGGGGGGGGCTATTTTTTGCCCCCCCTCGTATCTCCGAAACTACTGGACGGATCCGCAAAATTCAAACGGCGTTCGAAAGGCCTGTCAAATTTGTCGCAGGAAACCAAATTTCATTGACCTCAGGGTCACCGATGACGTCACAGGTCAGGTCAAAGATGAAATGTTTCTCCGTTCACGGGTGTTCTAGGGAATGCGCTATAACACCGAGGAAAACGCATTTTGTCGAGAATCAGCGGTAGGGCGTCAGTTGCCTAGTAGATATGTTGCTATTAGAGGTCACTGGCAATACCAGGTCAGGTCACAGGTCAGGTCACCAAGGGTCACAGGTCAGGTCACATGAGCCCAACTTTACTAAGGTTGTGTGATACATGTTTTATGGCCAATTTTTCATTTCCGACTCAATGGTGTTGGTTATAAGACTATCAGGTACGGCTTAGGTCACTTTCTGGTGAAGTTCAGGTCAAGGTCAGGTCAAGGTCAGGCCAAAAAAGGTCAAATTTTAAAGTTGATAGTTTTGCATAAAATGGGTATTGATTCGATGCAGCTCGTCACGGGGAGTCTAATGGTGGTCTTTGTTTTGCGCTACGGGGTCTACAATTGCTAAAAATTGAGTTTGAAAATTTGACGTCACCAATTTTGAACAGTTTTTTCGCTATAACTTCGCCAAAAAAAGAGGTATCAATCTAAAATTTGGTATGTAGATGGAAGGCGGTAAGGACTATCATATATATTCCGGTTTTTGCGAAATTCAAAAAACTTTTTGGATTTTTCGATTATTATATCCGAAAAATCTATTTTTTTATTTTTGGGGGTCAAAATCCAAAAATTTCAAAAATCCGAGATAGCAGTTTTGTAGCCCTGTTCAATCTACAGCTTTTATGTCTTTATCATTTTTCTTTATTTGCAAAGCTATAGGCCTGACAGCTCTTCCCGCGAAACCCTTTTTGGGGTCGAAAATGGCAGAACATGACGTCACTCTGACGTCATTTCCGGCAAAGCTATCATAGCCTTTGGAAAAAATTTTTGGTCACAATGTGTAAAATTGATGTCCGGGAGGGTACTGAAAGTTTGGTGACGATCGGCGCAGCGGTTCTGGAGATATATCGAAAAGTCTGGAGGGGGGGGGGGCAAAAATAGCCCGCCCCCCACCAGGTCGCGGGTTAAACAGTTTTTTCGCTATACCTTGGCCAAAAAGAGGTATCGATCTCGAATTTGGTATGTATATAGAAGGCGGTGGGGACTATCACATATATTCCGTTTTTTTTTAATTCAAAAAACTTTTTGGATTTTTTGGCTATTATATTCAAAAAATCTATTTTTTGATTTTTGGGGGTCAAAATCCCCCAAAAAAAAAATGGAAAAACCGAAATGGCAGTTTTTTAGCCCTTTCGATTCCACACCTTTCATGTTGAAACATTTTTCTGTATCTCTAAAGCTGTAAGTCTGATAGCTCTTCCCGCGAAACCTTTTTTTGGGTCGAAAATGGCAAAAATGACGTCACTCTGACGTCATTAGCGGCCAACCTATCATAGCCTTTGGAAAAATTTTTGGTCACCATGTGCGCTAGCTGCTCCCGGGAGGGTACTGAAAGTTTGGTGACGATCGGCGCAGCGGTTCTCGTGATATATTGAAAAAACTAAAGGGGGGGGGGCAAAAAATGCCCCCCCCCACCGCCTGGAAGGTTAAAGGAAACAGTTCACTTTCCTGAAATTAGTATTTTGCTATAGATTTATGATTTGTTATGCTCAAAATGATCAGAAAATGAAATAAAACCTTTTTGTAAAAACAATTATTTTCTATATTTTAATATAGGACCAACTATATTCTATGTAAAATAATGCTTGACGCGGAAGCTTATTACGCGTTGACTAATCATATTGCGTAGTTCAAACCTACGCATGCTGCATTGGCTGTAAGTAGCATGGTGATTGGCTGACGATGACGTGGCTGCATTCCTGTGCAAGGCACACATTCCTCTGCAAGGCACTCTTTTCGGAACGAGAAATGGAATATCTTCGTCTAGGGTGATCGTTGAGCCGTAAAAGCTCCTGATTTGTGCTAGTCTCACTCAAGCTACGAAACTGCTATTCCAGTTCAAAACCCCATGTTAAAAGTGAACTATTTCCTTTAAGTTGCAAAGACACTGGTGTGGGTCCGTCGTAGACGGGTGTCGGACCCTTAGAGCTGATGGCGTGTACCCTTTACAAGCCGGCAGGGGGCTCCAGAGACCGGCGACGGGCCCTCAGAGGCCGGCAAAGTGCCATCAGAGGCCGGTGGTACCTTCAGAAACCCTGTGGGGTCGTCTCTAGAGACCGGCACGGGCTCAGATGCCGATGGGGCCCTCAGAGTCGCCGGTGTGGGGCCTTCAAATGTCACCGGTGGGTGGCCATCACATGTGCACTTGTGGGGCCTTCAGAAGCGACGATGTTGGGCCCTCAAAGCCGCCGATATAGGGCCTTAAGAGGCACTAGTGTGGGGCCCTCAGATATGGCAATGTATGGCCCTCACAGGCGCCGTTGTGGGGGCTCTCAGAGACACTGGTTTAGGGCCATCACAGGCGCGCGTGTGGCCCTCAGAACTGCTGTTACGGAACGGACCCTTCATAGGCCGACAAGAAGATATCAAGAGGTCACCGGTGCCATCAGGAGCCTTGTGGGGTTCTCAGAGACCGGCATGGCGCTCTCAGACGCCGCTGGGACCCTCCGAGTCACCTGTGTGGGACCGTCAGGGTCGCTGATAACTGACAAGGGCCCTCAGAACCGCCCATGTGGGGTTTTTAAATGCATTGGTGTGGGGCCTCAGAGTTAGGGGTGTGGGGCCCTCAAAGACGCCGGTGTGGCGCTCAGAGGCGCCGGTGAGGGCCCTCACAGTCGCCGTTATAGGGGCCCTCAGAGAAATAGGTGTGGGGCTATTACAGGCGGGTGTGGAGCTTCCAGAGAGCTCCCAGAGCCCCCTAACCCAGCCAGCAATTTGGTTCGGCGCAAGTCCGTTTTACCCCGGCAACTCCGACATGCCAGACTCGGGCCGGTATAAAAGGAACGCCGTCAGAGCCGGGGTTTGGGTCGATACGGCTCTATTCCGGTTAGCCAGTCTTGGCCGTAGCGCTCCCGGGTTGGTATGGTTCCGGACCGTCAAGTCTGGCTCAAGTCCGGCTCCCCGCCACGGCTCAAGTCCGGCTCCCTTACGACCAGTCCGGCTGCCTCATAGCTGCTCTGGCTTACTGTGGCTGAAGTACGGTGGAGGTACGGCACGGCTGATGCGGCATAAGTCCAGCTGTGGTGCGGGCGAGCTCCGGGATCGTGTCAGTTCCAGTAGAGCCCCAGACCTTGCCCGTACTTTAGCCGGAGCAAATGCCTGAGCTATCCAGAGTAAAACCAGCTACGGCCAAGGCCAAATTTGTTGGCTGGGAATAGGCCGGTTAGGACTCCCAGAGTCCGACAAGTGGCCCTCCGAGACCGGTAAGGGGCCCTCAGAGGCTGGCTTGGGCCCTTATGGAGATCTTATTGTTGATACTTGTGGGCCCATGAGGTGTTTTTTACTAGCCCTGTGGGGCCCTTCTGAGTCCAAATATGGTCAACATGGACCCTTATCGGCCAATTGGCGCCGCAGGGCCCCTCAGGCCCGAATAACCCGAGGGGACCCTGAACCTGATGGGGGGGGGGGCGGGCACGTGCCTCACGGGCCCACCTGGCTACGCCACTGGGGAAAATCGTAAACCTGTAAATATCCAAATGCGATCACCTTTCATTTTTTCAGCGATTATTGTGATCGTCTAATTACTGCTAGAGCATCGTAGCTACCGTTGTCTCCGCGCAATGTCCGCCCCTGCGGACCGCAGCGACTGCTGCGCCGGTGCTAATCGCCGTCATCGGTTTCTGTCACCTTTTAACAGAGGTGCCGGGGCTGCTGCCATACTGCCGGCAAATATACGACTTTTTTTCGGAAAGATGTTTATGTAATAAGGTAGCCAAGTACTAGGGCGAGCGGAATGATTTTCAAGAAGAACGTTCTGCCCTTGGGAAATATTAGTGGAAATCTCGGCATTATCAGTATTCAGTACCTTATGGGGATAACCAACCCTATACGGTTGTGCCCCATGGCAAAGCTGCAATCTTTCACCCGGTGCAGGGGTTGAGCACCCCCAACCATTTTGAAAAATCGACACCCCTGGGTATTTGGTACAGGTTTTATCGGTAAATGAAATAAATTTATTATCAAGCGAGCGAAGCGAGCAAAGTGCGAGCGAAGCGAGCAAACTTTCGGATCTGCAGCGCTCCTCGAAAAGCGCATATACCTACATGCCTACCATACAGCTAAATGAAGTAAGTAAACAAACTTAACCCTACTGGCATAAACATACAAGTTTTAACAACCAAACTAATAATCCCCTTAAACATATATCTCGAATCTATACAGTTATAGCGTAAACCTGTATTTTAGGCCGGCCGGCCGTGGTCACGCTTTTGCGAGGCTTATATCTCAGCAACCACTTGACCGATTTACATGCGGTAATTTTTGCAGGGTAGCTTCATTCTTTCTACCAAGTATTGGACTATTCCCGATGTACGTGGGTGACCACTTATGCACGTGCCACGTGCAAAACGAAGAGGTATTGGTTTTGCAACAATTGCAATATCTCGGTAACTACTGGGCAGATTGCGCTGAAAGTTGGCATGTAGTCTTACTTAATAATGTGTCTCAATGCTTCTAAATCCTCTGCCGCTCATTCTTCGTCACTATATCCACCGTAATCTGTGTTTTCATTTAAGAGTAGCGAACCAACTTTCAACACGGCATTGCCGTACAGTATGCAATCAGGTGTTTGATAGTTCTGCCATCTAGCGCGTAAAAGGAAAGGTAGGGCGGCGGACACGACATTGCGGTACAGTATGCACTCAGGCGGCTTTATTCGCCAGCACCGTCATTGCGGTACAGTATGCAATCAGGCGTTTGATGGCTGTACCATCTAGCGCGAAACAGGAAAGGTGGGGTGGCCACGCAATGGATAGTAGCCGGTTCACGACGGCCATCTGGTAAGTACAAATTTGATGCAGGTTTGGTGCGATTAGGTTCAGTGTGTTTCTTAGCAGCTATCAGCTAGGGTTACATTAATTGCTTATAGCTATTCCTGCTTTTTCATAGTATCAGACATTATTATCGATCAACCCTATTACTGGTGGGGGGGGGGGGGGGGCATCGGCCCCCAACTGTAGTATTTTTGCTGTCGATGGAAAATCGCCTTAGGGGCTCGAAATTTGGCGACTTTTCCTTAGCTAGAGGCGTATCCAGGATCAGTTTCTCGGGGGTAAATCTGGTCACACTTAAAACAAAAATAATTTCAAAACAAACGTGTCTATCTGTATGTGTGCATATGCCCTAGAGACAGTATTGCGGTACAGTGTGCATTCAGGCGGTGATACGGCAGACGCGGCACTGCGGCACAGCGTCCATTCAGGCGCTTGACGCTCCTGCCATCTAGCGAGTAAAAAGGAATGTTTGGGCGGCTATGCGAGCCGCACATATTGGGTAGGTATGCGCACTCGATTACCTACCTGGCAATCTTCAAGAGAACAACCTTTCACCATTTACAGCATTAATAATATCCATGATATTGAACAAACGAATGTGATAGAATACAATTAGAGTAGGTTACAGTGCTCAAGTTAAGAACGTAGGTATGTTATGTTACGATTTACTGGTGGTTATAGGAATGCACTAGAGTAAGGTGGGAATAGAGCCTATGAGTAGGGTATGGGTAGGGTATAGGTAGCGTATAGGTAGGGTAGGACATGTATATGGGTAGAATAGCGCTTTTTTGCGGCGTTCCCGATTGGCGGCGGGCGGGCGGGCGATGCGGGCGATATTCATTTTTGTGGCGTTTGCGGTTGGCGGCGGGCGGGCAGGCGCGCGATGCGGGCGGTTTTCATTTTTTCGAGGCGTTTGCGGTTGGCGGCGGGCGGGCGGGCGCGCGATGCGGGCGGTTTTCATTTTTTCGAGGCGTTTGCGGTTGGCGGCGGGCGAGCGGGCGGTTTTCATTTTTTGCGGCGTTTGTAGTTGGCGGCGGGCGGGCGTGCGATGCGGGCGGTTTTTATTTTTTTGCGGCATTTGTGGTTGGCGGCGGGCGGGCGTGCGATGCGGGCGGTTTTTATTTTTTGCGGCGTTTGCGGTTGGCGGAGGGCGGGCGCGCGATGCGGGCGGTTTTTATTTTTTGCGGCGTTTGCGGCGTTGTTTGCGGTTGGAGGCGGTCATTTTTACTTTAGCGGCGTTTGCGGTTGGCGGCGGGCGGGCGGGCGCACGATGCGGGCGGTTTTCATTTTTTCGAGGCGTTTGCGGTTGGCGGGGGTCGGGCGGGCGGTTTTTATTTTTTGCGGCGTTTGTGGTTGGCGGCGGGCGGGCGTGCGATGCGGGCGGTTTTTATTTTTTTGCGGCGTTTGCGGTTGGCGGCGGGCGGGCGATGCGGGCGGTTTTTTGCGGCGTTTGCGGTGTTGTTTGCGGTTGGAGGCGGTCGTTTTTATTTTTGCGGCGTTTGCGGTTGGCGGCGGGCGGGCGTGTTTTTTTTAATAATTCAATGTCCAAACCTTTGGATTCGTAGTGCTCCTCGAAAAGCCATCCCTACCTACTATACAATTAAATGAAGTAAATATCAAACTCAACCCTACTTATATAAACATACAAGTTTTGACAACCCAACTAATGGCCCCATCAACAGTATCTATTCAAACGTACAGTTATCGCGTAAACCTGTATTCTAGTGATAATAAATTGAGCAATTCAACAAGTGGCCGTCAAACGAAGCAAGCCATGTGTAGTGTAGTGAAGTGTCGTGATAGGTACTTCTGGAGAACGTAGATAACCTGCTTTTCAATTCATAGTAAATACCTTTCATGAACTGGAGTACAACGGCCAAACAATGATGGAATTGTTATAATAATCGATGTTGTTATTTAGTTCAAAAATCAAGATTCTTTTCCCGACGAGTGCGACCTAATTTTATGGTTAGTTTTATCAATTCTGTTACCCGGCCATGCATAGAGTGGTGCATACTGCATACCTAAGCAGCTCTCTCCCTCTCCCTCTCTCTCTCTCCCTCTCCCTCTCCCTCTCTCTCTCTCTCTCTCTCTCTCTCTCTCTCTCTCTCTCTCTCTCTCTCTCTCTCTCTCTCTCTCTCTCTCTCGTGTTTCCAGTACTGGATGTTACTGCTCACCTCAGTCACCAGAGGACGGGGTGCCACTCACCCAGTTACCCAGAGACCACTGCCGGAAACTCAACAGAAAAGGATACAACGTCCTGGATAACAACTACTGGAATAAAGCGATAAATAAATACGTTACACTTTGTGAGTATGTACCATAATATCTAATATTGCCAATAAGCCATCAACACAATGGGTCAGGAAACTTATTTTTATGTCTTGGGAATTGTTTATGTCAGGAAATTTATTTTCATGTCTTGTCTATGCCGGTATGCCCCGTAGGGCTATCAGCGGACCCCACCACGCCGCGTAGGGGGGTGGGGCGTTTCGCCCCCCCCCCTAAGATCTCGGAAAGTTACTGGCCGATTTTCATAATTCAACGGCGTTGGATAGCCCGGCCACCGAACTATCTTGTGATCCAATTTCATTGACCGAAGTCCAAGAGATGACATCACAGGTCAGGTCAAAGGTCGAAATTTCACCGTTTACAGGCATTTCAAGAAATGCGTTGTGAAATTGAGTAAATTGGTAAGTTATTGAGAACCATCGATGGGCGAATTGTCCGTAAAAGACATATTTTGCTATTCAAGGCCATTGCTACCAGGTCAGGTCACAGAGTTCAGGTCACTGAGGGTCACAATGCGAAGTGTCGTGTGATTCATGTTTTATGGTCCATTTTATATGACAAATGCGATTATGTGGGTCAGGCAGACTATTGGGCCAGTTTTGGTTACGTTCTGGTGAAGGTCAGGTCAAGGTCAGGCCAAATTAGGTCAAGTTTCAAAGTTGATATTTTTGCATAAAATGGATTCGATTCGATGCAGCTCGTCATGGGAGTCTAATAATGGTCTTTGTTTTGCGCTACGTGGTCTAGAATTGCCAAAAATTGAGTTTGAAAATTTGACGTCATAATTTTTGAACAGTTTTTTAGCTATAGGTAACTTAGCCCAAAAAAGATATCGATCTGAAATTTGGTATGTACATAGCTAGAAGACGGTGGGTACTATCATATATATTCTGTTTTTTTTTTTATACAAAAACTTTTTTGGATTTTCTGACTAGAATACAGGTTTACGCGATAACTGTACGTTTGAATAGATACTGTTGATGGGGCCATTAGTTGGGTTGTCAAAACTTGTATGTTTATATAAGTAGGGTTGAGTTTGATATTTACTTCATTTAATTGTATAGTAGGTAGGGATGGCTTTTCGAGGAGCACTACGAATCCAAAGGTTTGGACATTGAATTATTAAAAAAAAAACACGCCCGCCCGCCGCCAACCGCAAACGCCGCAAAAATAAAAACGACCGCCTCCAACCGCAAACAACACCGCAAACGCCGCAAAAAACCGCCCGCATCGCCCGCCCGCCGCCAACCGCAAACGCCGCAAAAAAATAAAAACCGCCCGCATCGCACGCCCGCCCGCCGCCAACCACAAACGCCGCAAAAAATAAAAACCGCCCGCCCGACCCCCGCCAACCGCAAACGCCTCGAAAAAATGAAAACCGCCCGCATCGTGCGCCCGCCCGCCCGCCGCCAACCGCAAACGCCGCTAAAGTAAAAATGACCGCCTCCAACCGCAAACAACGCCGCAAACGCCGCAAAAAATAAAAACCGCCCGCATCGCGCGCCCGCCCTCCGCCAACCGCAAACGCCGCAAAAAATAAAAACCGCCCGCATCGCACGCCCGCCCGCCGCCAACCACAAACGCCGCAAAAAAATAAAAACCGCCCGCATCGCACGCCCGCCCGCCGCCAACTACAAACGCCGCAAAAAATGAAAACCGCCCGCTCGCCCGCCGCCAACCGCAAACGCCTCGAAAAAAATGAAAACCGCCCGCATCGCGCGCCCGCCCGCCCGCCGCCAACCGCAAACGCCTCGAAAAAATGAAAACCGCCCGCATCGCGCGCCTGCCCGCCCGCCGCCAACCGCAAACGCCACAAAAATGAATATCGCCCGCATCGCCCGCCCGCCCGCCGCCAATCGGGAACGCCGCAAAAAAGCGCTATTCTACCCATATACATGTCCTACCCTACCTATACGCTACCTATACCCTACCCATACCCTACTCATAGGCTCTATTCCCACCTTACTCTAGTGCATTCCTATAACCACCAGTAAATCGTAACATAACATACCTACGTTCTTAACTTGAGCACTGTAACCTACTCTAATTGTATTCTATCACATTCGTTTGTTCAATATCATGGATATTATTAATGCTGTAAATGGTGAAAGGTTGTTCTCTTGAAGATTGCCAGGTAGGTAATCGAGTGCGCATACCTACCCAATATGTGCGGCTCGCATAGCCGCCCAAACATTCCTTTTTACTCGCTAGATGGCAGGAGCGTCAAGCGCCTGAATGGACGCTGTGCCGCAGTGCCGCGTCTGCCGTATCACCGCCTGAATGCACACTGTACCGCAATACTGTCTCTAGGGCATATGCACACATACAGATAGACACGTTTGTTTTGAAATTATTTTTGTTTTAAGTGTGACCAGATTTACCCCCGAGAAACTGATCCTGGATACGCCTCTAGCTAAGGAAAAGTCGCCAAATTTCGAGCCCCTAAGGCGATTTTCCATCGACAGCAAAAATACTACAGTTGGGGGCCGATGCCCCCCCCCCACCAGTAATAGGGTTGATCGATAATAATGTCTGATACTATGAAAAAGCAGGAATAGCTATAAGCAATTAATGTAACCCTAGCTGATAGCTGCTAAGAAACACACTGAACCTAATCGCACCAAACCTGCATCAAATTTGTACTTACCAGATGGCCGTCGTGAACCGGCTACTATCCATTGCGTGGCCACCCCACCTTTCCTGTTTCGCGCTAGATGGTACAGCCATCAAACGCCTGATTGCATACTGTACCGCAATGACGGTGCTGGCGAATAAAGCCGCCTGAGTGCATACTGTACCGCAATGTCGTGTCCGCCGCCCTACCTTTCCTTTTACGCGCTAGATGGCAGAACTATCAAACACCTGATTGCATACTGTACGGCAATGCCGTGTTGAAAGTTGGTTCGCTACTCTTAAATGAAAACACAGATTACGGTGGATATAGTGACGAAGAATGAGCGGCAGAGGATTTAGAAGCATTGAGACACATTATTAAGTAAGACTACATGCCAACTTTCAGCGCAATCTGCCCAGTAGTTACCGAGATATTGCAATTGTTGCAAAACCAATACCTCTTCGTTTTGCACGTGGCACGTGCATAAGTGGTCACCCACGTACATCGGGAATAGTCCAATACTTGGTAGAAAGAATGAAGCTACCCTGCAAAAATTACCGCATGTAAATCGGTCAAGTGGTTGCTGAGATATAAGCCTCGCAAAAGCGTGACCACGGCCGGCCGGCCTAAAATACAGGTTTACGCTATAACTGTATAGATTCGAGATATATGTTTAAGGGGATTATTAGTTTGGTTGTTAAAACTTGTATGTTTATGCCAGTAGGGTTAAGTTTGTTTACTTACTTCATTTAGCTGTATGGTAGGCATGTAGGTATATGCGCTTTTCGAGGAGCGCTGCAGATCCGAAAGTTTGCTCGCTTCGCTCGCACTTTGCTCGCTTCGCTCGCTTGATAATAAATTTATTTCATTTACCGATAAAACCTGTACCAAATACCTGTACCTGCGCCTATACCTGATCCTAATTGAAAACCTGTATTCTTTAAATCCACAGAGTTGACTTCCCGAGCTGGCTTTTATCGTTTTCACTCAATTTTTTAAGCGAACAACTGAGCCTAAAGCACGTGCTCTCTGCTCGGCGCCGGCCTCGGCCAGCCTGGGGCAGAGATGCACGCGCTGACGCCGCACCCGTGGTCCGATTGCGCCCATCTTTTGATACGATGGTCCGCCCCACCCAAAGTTTGTGTCCAGTAAATTTCACGTCGATACGCGGCGCCGTGCCGGCGCATTAAGACACATAAGGCTGACGGACGCAGACACGACTTATAATTTATTAAGTAAGTGATAATAAATTGAGCAATTCAACAAGTGGCCGTCAAACGAAGCAAGCCATGTGTAGTGTAGTGAAGTGTCGTGATAGGTACTTCTGGAGAACGTAGATAACCTGCTTTTCAATTCATAGTAAATACCTTTCATGAACTGGAGTACAACGGCCAAACAATGATGGAATTGTTATAATAATCGATGTTGTTATTTAGTTCAAAAATCAAGATTCTTTTCCCGACGAGTGCGACCTAATTTTATGGTTAGTTTTATCAATTCTGTTACCCGGCCATGCATAGAGTGGTGCATACTGCATACCTAAGCAGCTCTCTCCCTCTCCCTCTCTCTCTCTCTCCCTCTCCCTCTCCCTCTCTCTCTCTCTCCCTCTCTCTCTCTCTCTCTCTCTCTCTCTCTCTCTCTCTCTCTCTCTCTCTCTCTCTCTCTCTCTCTCTCTCTCTCTCGTGTTTCCAGTACTGGATGTTACTGCTCACCTCAGTCACCAGAGGACGGGGTGCCACTCACCCAGTTACCCAGAGACCACTGCCGGAAACTCAACAGAAAAGGATACAACGTCCTGGATAACAACTACTGGAATAAAGCGATAAATAAATACGTTACACTTTGTGAGTATGTACCATAATATCTAATATTGCCAATAAGCCATCAACACAATGGGTCAGGAAACTTATTTTTATGTCTTGGGAATTGTTTATGTCAGGAAATTTATTTTCATGTCTTGTCTATGCCGGTATGCCCCGTAGGGCTATCAGCGGACCCCACCACGCCGCGTAGGGGGGTGGGGCGTTTCGCCCCCCCCCCTAAGATCTCGGAAAGTTACTGGCCGATTTTCATAATTCAACGGCGTTGGATAGCCCGGCCACCGAACTATCTTGTGATCCAATTTCATTGACCGAAGTCCAAGAGATGACATCACAGGTCAGGTCAAAGGTCGAAATTTCACCGTTTACAGGCATTTCAAGAAATGCGTTGTGAAATTGAGTAAATTGGTAAGTTATTGAGAACCATCGATGGGCGAATTGTCCGTAAAAGACATATTTTGCTATTCAAGGCCATTGCTACCAGGTCAGGTCACAGAGTTCAGGTCACTGAGGGTCACAATGCGAAGTGTCGTGTGATTCATGTTTTATGGTCCATTTTATATGACAAATGCGATTATGTGGGTCAGGCAGACTATTGGGCCAGTTTTGGTTACGTTCTGGTGAAGGTCAGGTCAAGGTCAGGCCAAATTAGGTCAAGTTTCAAAGTTGATATTTTTGCATAAAATGGATTCGATTCGATGCAGCTCGTCATGGGAGTCTAATAATGGTCTTTGTTTTGCGCTACGTGGTCTAGAATTGCCAAAAATTGAGTTTGAAAATTTGACGTCATAATTTTTGAACAGTTTTTTAGCTATAGGTAACTTAGCCCAAAAAAGATATCGATCTGAAATTTGGTATGTACATAGCTAGAAGACGGTGGGTACTATCATATATATTCTGTTTTTTTTTTATACAAAAACTTTTTTTGATTTTCTGACTAATATACCTATACTAAAAAATACTTTTCTAATTTTGTGGGTCAAAATTGAAAACTTTAGAAAGTATGAGATAGCAGTTTTGTAGCCCCGTCACTTTTACAACTCTTATGTTTTGATCATTTTTCTGTATCTTCAAAGCTGTAAGCCTGACAGCTCTTCTCGCGAAACCTTTTGTTTGGATCGAAAATGACAGAACATGACCTCATTCTGACGTCATTTGTGGCCAACCCATCATTGCCTCTGGACAAAAATCTGGTCACAATGTGTAAAAGTGATGCCCGGAGGGGTCCTGAGATTTTGGTGGCGATAGTGCCGCCGTTTAGGAGATATAGTTACGGAAAAGGACAGAGGGGCGTTTCGCCCCCCCCCCCCCGCGGGGCGCGGGTTGAAGGCATAATATGGAGTCATAAGTTGCATAAAATGTGTGAAATTGTTGAGAGAATAGTCATGCCAAATTGCATTAGAAATAACTTGGTAGAATCTCACTTACAGATAACGGAAGCGCGTTCTGGGCGAACAAACTGCCCGACAGTATTATCTGGCTCCAGCGAGGTAACCAGCTGGATGTTGACAGCTGCATGGCAACCTGCAGAACTAAGGAGGAAATCGCCTGGATGGCGATGGGACTGTAAGTATGGGCGAGCGCGCAGAATTTTTTTTTTAGGGCAGCTCTTTGTATTCACAATAGAGAGATACAGATGCGTACAATACACACAATGCATCGTAGCGCCGAGCTACACCGCGCAAGGTACGGTGCCAGCTCGGGGTCATATACCTAAAGGATCCCGGATCAGGGCAAGGCTTTGTGCCGCAAAATCTCCCGTTATTTATTCGTACATTTGTCTATACCTCGCCACTATTAGACTATCAGCTTAAGAATAGACTGCCAGAGACTATGAGCTTACGACGCTTGGAGCACCACTGACAGAGGCCGCCGCTGAGTTGACTGTAAATGCCAAGAAGGAGGGGTTAGAGTGCATGCTGGAGCGGCTTCAAATTCTGGACTCTCATTTGGTCTTTTTCCTTTTGTGCAACAGCCTGTGGCTACCAAAGCTGCAATATCTACTGAGGGCCAGTCCTCTGCTTCGCCAGAGAAGGATTCTGCAGCCCCTAGACGACCTACGATGGCACTCACCGCTATTGCCAATGTGACCCTAGGGGAAGAAAGCTGGAAGCAAGCCGTGCTACCGATACGATATGGCGGGCTTGGCCTTCGTAGAACACTGGACGTGGCTTTGCCAAGCTACGTGGCGTCTTTGCATTCTTGCTATCAGTTGCTAGTGCCCATGCTGCCAACGAATCTGAGCATCGGCGTAGAGCGCGAGTGCACATTAGCTGTTGATGACTGGCTGGCTGTGACTGGTGGTAACTTGGAGGTCCCTCACGAGGACGCCAAAGGACAGCAGCGTGCATGGGACACGGCATAGACCTCTGTATACAGAGGTCTATGGACACGGTGATCGCGGGGCGCCTCCAAGCTGCACTACTCGGGAATGCAAATCAGTTTGCTCGGGTCCGATTGCTGAGTGCCGGCACATCTGAAAGTGGTACTTGGCTACACGCGATACCATCTGGAAATCTCGGCACCCTGCTCGACAACGACACACTGCGTGTCTCAATCGCGCTGAGGATTGGAGCGGATGCGTGTAGTCCTTATCAATATGCGTGTAGTCCTTATCAATGCAAATGCGGTGCAATCGCAGACAACAAAGGGTATCACGCTCTAACGCGCCGTCTCAGTGCAGGCCGAGACACACTGCACCGAATGACGTTATACGACGTGCCCTTCTGTCAGCTGGAGCCCCGTCCATCATGGAACCTACCGGAGTTGACAGGGGAGACGGCAAACGACCGGATGGGATGACGGTCTTTCCTTACTCCAAAGGAGCCAGCCTGGTGATGACGCAGCCTGTGTAAATACTCATACCGAATCCCACATCTCCTCCACTGTCGCATCTGCCGGAGCCGCCGCCCAAGACGCCGAGCAAAGGGAGTGCAGAAAATACACGAGCCTCTCGGTCTCTCGGACCGTTTTCTATTTGAACCGGTAGTATTTGAAACTGGAGGAAGCTGCGGTCCCTCGACGAGATCATTCGCCAAACAGCTCGGAACAACGCTTACCAACGTCTCAGGCTACCGCCAGAAGACTGCTTGGCTCTGGCAACGGCTTTCAATGGCTGTCGTACGAGGGAACACCGTTTCCCCAAACGACGATCAAAAGTCATATCCATCAAATAGGTGTATCTTATCAAGATGGAGTGTTACAATTACTCTCGTAAGGCTGGCTGTGTGAATGGAGACGTGTAGCAGCTGCGTGTAATATCAACTAGGTACACATTTCGTAAAACCCGTGCCCTGATCCTAGGTGAATGCTGATGCTTGCGTCAGGTGTAATCTATCGTCACAATTAAGGTTGCCTATTTTTGTGATAAGGTGTAGAAAAATTTGCAGTGTACTCAAAGACGTGTTGCACTTTTTTACCTCATCTGCTATCTACGAAGGTCATTTGGTCTTCCCCATAGCAAGATCAAAGGTATCTACCAGTATAGCGCCTTTTGGGGCGACTAACGGAGCGAGCGAGGGGGTGAGTCTTGCACGTGCGAAATTTCGAGGGGGTACCTCCAACTGACTTGTGCACGGCACCCTACAGACCGGTTTCTAGCGATGTGCCAAATTTGAGCACAGTCGGCCCAGCCGTTCTCGAGATCTGGGAGCGGCACCCTGCACGTGCGCACGTGCAAAATGGGTCCCAACTGACTTTTGCACGGCACCCTACTAACTGGTCCCTAACCGTGTACCAAATTTGAGCGCCATCGGTCCAGCCGTTCTCAATTGTATGTCAATTGTCAGATAATGTAGTTTCCTGGCCGAGCCCGAGACACCAGGGTATGTTTCGTTCATGTATCATTTTTTTAACCCATTTACGCCCTTCGTTGCGTTTTCGCAACGCAAGCAAGCGTCGACGTGATCGAAGCTTGAGAAGTGTGTAAAAGAGACTAACCGATGAGACAAGTTTCAGCGTGTGTAGCATGGTTGTGCGCATGATACTACGCAGTTACAAGTCTGTGCGGCCGGTAAGTTACTGCCTAGAGCTCCCAGAGGGAAGTCGAAGGTTTTGTGAGTGATGACGTCACGAAAACCAAGATAAGTAGGCTAAGTGCTTAATAATATCGTAATGAAAATTGTGTAAACATATTCTGCAGAGTCCCTACAATAGCGTAGATATGCATTTTGTTAAGAAATAATGCTATAAAAAGGGTTTGTGACTATTTTCAAATATGACTACGGTCGCGTTGCGGGAACGCAACGAAGGGCACATCGAAAAGACAGCGGTGTTGCGAAAACGCAACGATGGGCACATTGGCAGGGTAGCGGAAGTATGAATATCAACAGTAGACTTCACTCGTGATACGCTGTGGGTTCTCTCTTTCTCTCCCCCATCTTCCTCCCTCTCCTCCTCGTTCCCCAACTCTCTCCCCCTCTCTCTCTCTCTCTCTCTCTCTCTCTCTTTCTCTCTCTCTCTCTTTCTTTCTCTCTCTCATTTTGTAGCCATGAGGCTGTAGCGGCGGAACATCTTCAATTAAGGGGGGGGGGAGCATTGCTGACTTTTGGTCTCATTCTTTCCATTTCCATTTCCATGCAACGCCTATCGGGATAATGTTAAAATGGCAAAATCAAGGGGGGCACGGTGCCCCGGTGCCCCCTCCCCCGCTCCGCCGCCTATGCCATGAGGGACGTATATAGGTATGTTTAGTGCCATGCGTTCGCACGTAAAATGTTGCGACACATTTCATATTTGCTGGCTCAAACAGCCACAAACACTCCTTGCTTTTTCTCTCGCAGATTTTCGGCCTCGGGCTGTTCGTTCACTAAGCAATGTGTTCCCATGCATCTGAAAATCGCATGGTAGGAAAAGGACCCATGCATCAAACGGTCGGCGATGATAACGGAGCTGAGAGATGATTAGGTCCTTTGGAAATTGGATCTACTATGTACATTGTGCATAAATAATGAATAACGGGGATGTATTCTGGTATCAGGCGACAGATAGGCATCGCCATTCTCTGGATAGAATCTGCTGACTACCAGCATTTACGTTAGAAAAGATAACTGAGGGTCGGCAAATAGTGGGATAGGCCCCCTCTGAGGGTAGCTGAGCCCTTCGGCAGGGGTAATGATGTGGAGTATACGCCTGTTTTCTTACTTTGATAGGCTTTTTATCTAATCAGACCATTTTTAGAGCTAGCAGGATTATTGGAATTAGGGGAGACATTTGTCTGACCGGACACGGTCAATCGTAGACTGGAGACTGAGCCCAGCCAGTGGGCAGCCGCCACCCATGACCCACCCCCTTCCCCCCTCCCAAGCACTCACTGCACCCGGCTACAGGCGCGCTCCTACGTGAGCTGCCCGATTGCGATATACGTTGCCGGTCCAGCCCGGAACAGGGGGATGAGGCGTGGAGGAGGATTCAACTATCCTGAAGATGGAAAGGATGGATTGACGTCGAATCACCATTCTGTCCTGGCATTGTCTCGAGAAAGAGGTTACACGTGAAGGTCGCTGAGAGTGGGGCCATGAACATTTTGGATTAGGTGTAAACATGATAAACTGGGAGTCGATTTGTTGTGATGCGCTACGCCTTACGCGGGTAATTTGTTAGAGCCGGATCGGTCCTTTTTTCTTTTTGCTGAGAGTGGGTACGACTAGCCTGCAATGGAATTTAACTTTACTCCTAGGAGGGTGGTTAAAAATGATTGCGGATATACGCGCATACGAGAGGCACTGGTTTACTCCCAATCCTCCCAGTATTCAGTGTGCACTGTGCAGGGTCTGATAGGTGGAGGTAATGGATCTGTCTAGCTTCCAAAAAGAAAGCATCACCCTGGATACGTGTCGACCACAACTTTAAATGAACAGCAATGGACAACGTAATTGGTTGATAATGACCGTGTTGCCATCTCCCCGTTCGCGAAGCATGAAGTTATGCTTCCTCACTGAGGCTCTTAGGCGGGTTATAGAGCATGACGGATGTGGGTTCCGCATTTTCAAGCAATAGTTGTCAACAGTTGATTGATGTTTTGTCAAAACATATTAGCATATACGGCAGTTCAGTGTACTTTATGTCCGTCTGATGTGCCCGTCGTTGCGTTTTCGCAACGCTGATGGCGCCCGGTGTGCCCTTCGTTGCGATTTCGCAACGCATGTTTTTTACGTTTTTCTCGAGAAACTTTTGCTGCAGGCAAAAATTATTTTCGATTCCATACAAGGCCCTGGAAGGAGCATAACATATTTTGATTTCGTCGATTTTCATGATGGTCAATATTCCTGGGCATAAATGGGTTAAATCTGTATCACGTATTACCTAAGCACCGGGAAGTGATCGCCGCCGGGCGTGCGCCGGACGCCGCGCGAGAAGCATCCGTAGCTATCATAATTAGGAGAGAACTACCATACGACTGCAAGACGTTAGTAAAACGACTATGACTTCTTTACGACTAGCGACAGTTAACGTCAACGGACTGAGAACGAATAGACCATTAGCGTCCAAAAGACGAAAAATGTTTACCTGGTTTAAAAAATTGAATTTAGATTTTGTATTCTTGCAAGAAACTCATGCAGACGAAGCTTGCGAGAAATTGTGGCTTAACGAATGGGGTGGAGAAGGCTTTTTCGCAAACGGAACTGACATAAGCAGAGGAGTAGCTATACTTTTGAAGCCAGGCTTCCGCGTTAAAGTAATAAAGGTGCACAGAGACCCCACAGGCAGATTTGTTTTGCTTGAACTAATTATGCAAGGTGTTAAACTGATACTCTGTAACGTGTACGGGCCCAATGCCGATGAGCCATCCACTTTTGAAAAGATGTGCGAAACATTAAGCTTGATCGATAGCGATTATATCGTTTTAGGGGGAGATTTTAATTTCTGCATGGATACCAGCATTGATCGTCAATCGGTTAAAAAATGCCCACAAAATAACCGTAAATGCAGAGAGGTCATTATGAACTTTGCGAATGCGCATGATTTAGTGGATATTTGGAGAGTAAATCATCCTTGCCGCAAACAATTCACTTTTTCTAGAAAGTTGCCACCTTCAAAATCACGGATAGATTTCTTTTTGTGTAGCAAAGCATTTATCCTAAGTAAAAGTAGTGCGCAATCAGAAATAGTCGATGGCTACCTCACCGATCACAGTTTAGTCAGTCTTACGATAGAAGTAAATAGTTGTGAGCGTGGCCGCTCGTACTGGAAATTTAATAATAGCCTGTTGAAAGAAGATGCCTTCGTAGAGTTAATAAAAATGCGTATCCCACAGATTCTGGCAGAAAATGAACATCCTGAAATGTCACCAGGCCTCCTCTCCGATACTCTTTTAGCAGTACTTCGGGGAGACATAATTTCTTATGCGACTCGAAGAAAAAAAGAATTATGTGGGAAATTTGATGCTATACAGTCAGAAATAGACACGATATCTCAGGCGACATCTCCCACTGCGGCACAAAACAGTAGGCTACAGGCAGCTAAGGGTCCAGCCGTTCTCGAGATCTGGAAACGACCCCTGCACGTGCGCACGTGCAGCAGCACCCCAACTCTGGCACATGGATATGCAGTGCCTAGTGGGTGCCTACCTACATGCCAACTTTCAGCGCAATCGGCCAAGTAGTTACCGAGATATTGCAACAATTACAAAACCGACACCTCTTCGTTTTGCACGTGGCACGTGCATAAGGGGTCACCCACATGCATCGGGAATAGTCCAATACTTGGTAGAAGGAATGAAGCTACCCTACAAAAATTACCGCGTGTAAATCGGTCAAGTGGTTGCTGAGATATAAGCCTCGCAAAAGCGTCCGCACGGCCGGCCGGCCGGCCGGCCGGCCGCTCATACTCAGAAATTTCCGTTAATCTAAGGAAAGACTCCGCTCGCTTCGCTCGCTCCGTAATAAACTATATAAAAGTTCAAATTTGGCAAATAATGTTAAAATGTCACATAGGGCGGGAACAGATGAGGGAGCCGGGGCGTCTGTCTTCGACTTTTCTGAACAGCGGGACCCTCACTCCACCAAACTTATGTCGAAGCCAACCTGCAGTTACATAGATCAAAATCGTTATGCAAAAAAAAAAAAATATAGGAAAAGTTACAACGAATTTCACGTCAATTGCAATATTCATTGTTTAGCTTCAAAGAAATATCGAATTTCGAGTTTGTCCCCGACCCTCAGGTTATAATAATCCAGTTACATAATAAAAAAATTAAATATAGAAATATGTAAGTTCACTTAGCATGTCCTTTCCACAGTGATGAATGTATGTGTGGCTTCCGAACATTCTCGTCTTTGGATAAACCAATACAAGCGCATCTATCCAGAGCTGCAAAGCCGGACTCGAGGCTGTTTTTCTTGATGAAGTACAGGGGACCAACAAAAGGTGAGCTTGGGCTGGTCCTGCATTAGTACCGCAACAAGGAATCGTGACGATAAAACAATAAATTACGATTCCTTATCTGCGCCTGACCTAAGACTGACTGTTATATGCACGCTGTTTCGCAATTGTTACTCTCTGAAGACGTTCAATTCATGCATGAAATGAAATATCCAATTTCTAACTACGTAAGATATTTCACAGCAATTAAATGCCCAAGAGTTGAATAATATTGCGAGGACATTACCCCCTACCAGGCACCGAGCTGAAGGGTGTTTTTACGCCCCCTCAGGTTTTTCGCAAATATCTTAACCCTCGCCGGCCGAGGGGGGGGGGGGCGGGTGCCGCCCCCCATAGGGTTTTTTTTCGCGATAGCTCCGAACACGCTGGCGATAGAGAGTTGAAACTTGGCATACCTGACCTTTGATCCAAGCCGCATCTTTTGACACCAACCGCATTTTTGGGTCAGGTCAGGTCACTGACCTATGACGTCATAAGTGAACCTCTGCACGGTCTTCAGATGTCGCAACTTCGCAACGCCCTCACTGCCAGAGGAGATGTCACAGGGAAATGAAACTTGCAGGATCTAGTATCCATTATGAGTCTCACAACTTGTATATCTCGGATTTTTCCTAAAGGTCATGTGAGGTCAGGTCATTTTCGTGACCTCACCATTATAAGTCAATGGGGAAAAATGAAAACTGCTATTCTGGCGCCGGGAACGATCTCCAACTATCTCAAGCACACATAATCGTGATTTGATGCACTCCTTGCAAGGTTAGATGCGTCACTTTTGCAATGTTGACCTTGCGTGGCGTCATTTATGACGTCATCAAGGTCATATTAGTTTTTCGTCAATAACTCCCGATCAAATTGACCTAGCGAGTCGAGAAAGCCACCAATGGACTCAGGAAGACCCGCCGAATCGAATGATATGCGACATGACCTCTTTCGACCTACTTCGTGACCTGGGGGTGCTGACCTGACCTTGACCTGAGGTCAACACCCTAAGTTGACCTGACCCGAACAAAAAGCGTATCATTCGACGCGCCTGAGCGAGGCGAACACGATGCCGCCAAAATCGCGGCTCTGCGGCCGTTTTTTGCGAAGTTATTCACCAAAAACTGAACCGTTCCCTGGGGCACTTGACCTGACCTCAGAGGTCACCGGTTGACCTAGGACCTTAAAATCGGGTACCAATCTCTGCGTCTCGTAACGGCGCACACGCTCGTTTTTTCTGCGACGCGCTAGCTCCACCAAGGGCGAAACGGCGAGGGGGGGGGTCGTACCCGCCCCCCCCCTCGGCCGGCGCGTATGTAGAAAACCAATAGGTCCGGCGAGGGTTAATGATTAAGAATGACGTAGCTACACAGAGTGACCGATCGCTTTGAAAGTTAACCCTCGCCCGCACATGGGGGGGTGGTTGCCACCCCCCCCCAGGCAGTCTTTCTGCTCTGCATTCAACATTTTTAGAGCTAGAAGGCTGATTTTTCGTATAGCTGCTCGTCTATCCTTTCTTGATGTCCACTGAAAATTTCAAGTTTCTGTGATTTTTGGTTTCGGAGATATGACCTTGTTTTTCAGGTCATGTCATGACCCAAATGGCCAATTCTCAACATCTTGCGTTTGCCATGGGCCTTGTGAGCTTTTGACACCCTGATTTCGGCCTTTTTTGCCAGTCTTACCTCCCACCTATCATGGAACATGTTGTTCGACGATGTACAGGGGTCAAGGTCAGGGTCAAGGTCAACCTAGGTCATCTAAGATAATTGCGTTTTAGGCAAGCTGAATTTACTTTTTGTGAAGTTTTTTGACTGCATTTTTGGTAAAAGCTTCTCAGATCATGATTTCTTGTGATATGGACCCAAAAACAATCGGTGCACACATCAGTATACACACAGACACACACAGACATACAAACACATATAATTGACTTCATGACCTAACTTGACCTGAAATGACCTCAGCAGCAAAATTCTGGTCGGATAGTGTGACAAAGAGGTTCTAGCTGGCTTGGCACCAGAAAACAGCATCGTCATCGGTATTTGATAAGCAGCGCACTTGATATCCAACGGTGACCCAAAACAGCAACATTTTTTAGTTTGACCTGACCTGGAAGGTCAATGACTGACCTGAGAAGGTAAAACTGGGTATCATTGGATTCGTCTCTTCCCAAAGAATCTTTTTGGTCTTTACTGCTAAGCTCTATCTCCAACAGGAACGAAATGGCGCGGGGGGGTGGCAACCCCCCCCCCATGTGCGTTCTAGGATGGGAAAATGGCATGTGCGGGCGAGGGTTAAGCGATTAATAGCAACAGTGTGAGCTTAGTATATGTCTCGGAATTTCGATATTAGTGACCTAGGGTCAGGTCAATTTTGGGACCTCCCATTACCAATGGAGAGATCAATAGGAGACACATTTTAAACTGAAATGCGCCTCTTTTGGACGAACGTCGTTCTAACCACTCTTAAACATCGTGTTACAGGTAAACATGACACGCTGAATCGGAAACTTGCACCCGTGACCCCTCTTTCTACCCCTGAGGACATCTCAGGTCATGACAGGTTTCCAATAGTTTTCGACAATAACTTTGGATAGAGACACGTTAGAGCGATGAAAATACCTCATATGTGTTCAGCTCGACGATACGGATAGACTGATATGCAGCATGACCCTTTCCCGTCAGGTCATTACTTTAACCCTATTCCTGGCGGGCTCCGCCGGGACAAGAAACTGGCGGGGGGGGGGCCGATTCGGCCCCCCCTTCAGATCTCAAAAACTACACATCGCAGCGACAAACGGTAAACGGCATCGGATACGCACGGTCAAGATCTACAATTTTTACTAAGGTCATTTTCAGGTCAGGTCAAAGATGACGGCACAGGGGTCGAAAAAGTTAAAATGGCGGCGCTAGATATGGAGAGAGTTTTTCTCGAATAACTTTCGAATTAGTCAAGATAGGAACAAACTAAGGGCATCATCGTGATCCTCTCGTCAATCCGCATCGAATGATATATATGTTGACCTCGAAAGGTCAAGGTCAAAGGTTGACCTCAGGTCACGTGACCTCGAGGTCATCATGTATATCATTCGATGCGTCTTGACGAGCTGAACACAATGAGACCATCCACGCGTCTGTATCTTGTTCCTGTACGGAGTTATTGGCCAAAAACCTTTGGTGACCTTTGATGACGTCACATGACCTCACAGCTGCCCAACAGCAAAACAGACCTCAAGGTAGTGAAGGTTGATCGTATATGAAGTCATGTATGGTATATGGGGCCATTCCGACCCGTTTTAGTGGTAAAAACAGGGAGTTGATTTTTCCCCCTTTGACTTATAATGGGGAGGTCGCGAAACTGACCTGACCTTAGGTCACCGATATCAAAATTCCGAGACATACAAATTGCACATACTGGTACCCTAACTAAAGCCTGAAGAGAAGAAATTGATCGGTCAAAAACTCTAGCTCTGGCGTGATTGCAAACTTTTCTGAGGTAGGGTCACCAAACCGCCTCTGGTGACCTGACCTGAGGTCAGATCAACTCAAAATTTTCAGACATGTTGCGTAGAAGCCTTTTAGGAAAAGTCAGAAAATTTGAGCTTCCTAGCTCAACGCGTTTGGGAGAAATAACCAAAAAACCTCAGGGGGGGGGGGCTCCTGAGGCCCCCCCGCCAGGAATAGGGTTAATCTAAGGTCAAATTTTCAAAGTAACGTTCCTAGGTCAAACTATTGTTCCTTCGACTCGTCTCGACGAGAGGAATACGATGCTGGGAAAATTATCTGACTATGTCGAGTCAAAAGTTATTTCAGAAAAAAATTTCAAACTGCAAATTTTCAGAGTGTTTACGTTCGCTTAACCGTTGACCTGAGGTCAAATCTAAGACACATGCAGAAAGAGCGTTAAAAGGGCTACCGTACGCGCTTTTCTGCGGCGCTGTAGCTCTGGGTTCCCGCGTTATGCGCCGCTGTTTCGAATATCATTGTAATAGACAAAACGTGATCTTTGATAGCTTCTGGCGACCTGACCTTTGACCTCACCTAAAAAATGACGGAAGTATTTTCTTCATTATTTTTGACGCTCTTTCGATTGCCGCTTACCGCTGCTACGTGGTCCAAGAGCCGAGTCAGACAGGGGGGGGGGTGAAAACGTCCCCGCACACCAAGGAAAACTCTGACCACCAGCACGGCACGGGTCATTAACCAAATATCGTATTATGTCAGCAACATAGCGTAGCCTCAGGTTACGAGCTTTCAGCTGTGTCAGGTCTTAACGTAAATGTTAAGTTTATGTTCTATGCGATGTTTGGTCAAGCTGAGCTGTGGTGCTGCATTTGTTACTTCAGAGTGTGCTCATTATACGGTGTGATCCTAAAAGAAGAAGAAAAAACATTACGCAGCCTAACGGCTTCGGCGATTCCAAACGACCCCCGCGCCGTGTCGTACTAGGGGAGGGGACGTTTTAACCCGCGCCCCACTGGGGTCTGCGTATAGGGGAAGCGGGGGTAACACCGCCCCCCTAAGCTTTTCGCCAAAATGAGAGAATATGTGTGTAGTCTCTTGGTAGTTATTGTCTTGGTTACAATATTTAAACATTTTCTCACGTGTTTTAGGTACTTATTTTGCATTTTCCTAAAAGGTTTTCATGTATCACGACTTTTAAAAATACCTTGCATATTTGCCACCTACAAATTGTGTGGGTAACCCCGCCACCGGTGTTGATGTTAACCCAGCCCATCCCTACGAAAGCTTTTCATTGTTCAGAGATCGCGTGCGATGAGTTTCCTGTCGGTAAGTGGTAATTTTCGCAAATAATCGGTAATGGACACATAAATAGGTATAGGTTCATCAGCTGTTTGCCAGTTTTATACAGCTGGCAAGTGCTTGGTCGGGATGCATGAAAATAAAGTAAAAAAATCAAATAAGCTGCTTTTTCCCGACTTAGGAACATCTACGAACATAAATAAAGCATGTCTTTGGAGTTTCATCACTTATCACGCTGCG